GAAACATTGACGTGAAAGGAACACATGAAGTGGTTGCCACCCGCAGGACCCAACCAGGGCCGGGGACAAACTGCAACCGAGGTACATGCCCTTAGCAGGAACCAAACCCGGGTCTCTCTGGACCTCAGGCTGATGCTCTAACCACTGAGCCAAATTGGCCAGGGCAAAATGTTCTATATCTTGATCTGAGTGGTGGTTACATGGGGTATTAACATATAAAAAAGAAAAAAAATTTACTTTGTTGCATGCCCCCCCCCCCCTTTTTTTACTATAGACTGGAGGGACTTTGTTACAGACCAGTGCTATTCTGTGGATTGTTATTGAAGAACCACTGATCTGAAGACATTCATTAGGCAAAGAAAATTCCTGGGCAGTCTGGTCCAAGTTCTCTTTCTGTGCTCCCTTCTGCCTCTTTCCCTCCCTGCCATGTTTTGGATATTTCTGGAGATTCACAGGGCAGGGCTTTTTTATTTTCCCTGCAGTGTTCTGCAGTTGCTTTTCCTTCTACCTCATAATCCTTTTTCCTCCCCACCTCTCTCTGGCAAAACCCTACACATTCTCCAAGGCCTAGCCTTTTTGGTTCCACAAGAAACATGCTTGATGCTTGTTCTCACATGGTGTTTTATTAATAAATTTTTGAGGTAGCACTTATCACTTCTTTTGAAAGCTTTTTATTTCAAAATAATTATAGACACAAAGGAAGTTACAAGCTAGCAAAAAGCCCATGTACGCTTCATCCAGCCTCCCCCACTGGTGACATCTCATATAGCTGTAGGACAGTGTCAAAACCAGGAAGTTGACATTCATGAACTAATTTTTAAATTTATCTTTTTACTTATTTTTTCCATTCCCTGTGCTCTCCAATACAGCAGCCACTAGCCACATGTAGCAATTTAACTTAGATTACTAAGTAAAGTTATATAAAATTAAAAATTTAATTCCATGGCCTCACTAGCCACATTTCAAGCACTTAATAACCACATATGACTAGTGGTGACCATATGGGTAGCACATATAGTTTGCATTGTTTCAAGTTTTGGATCGCCCTGATCTAGACTGCATTCTTCCTGAGGGTAGACCTGCCTTACTTGCTTTTTATCTGCCATTCCTGGGCAGTGTGGGTACTCAGTCCATATTGGAATGATTGCCTCCAGTCCTGCTTTCTTGTTTTACATGCGAAGAAACTTAGGCCATAGGTTATGGTAACTAAAATGATGTCTAGCTATTGAGTAGCAAAGCTAGAAATAGAGCTCAGGTTTCCCAATTCCAAGTTCACTGCTTTTTCCATGTAGACCTTAATTTTATGAGCTCATTGATTTGTATCAGTTTTACGAGTATTAAAGTAATAATACTATTTAAACTTTAGGGTACATAAGAAGCAACTAGGAAGCTTGTTAGAACTGCATATTCCTGGGCCTCTCCCTCCTATGAATCTGATTCAGTAGGTCTGCAGTGGGGTATAGGAATGTATATTTTAAACATATGCTTAATCAAGACCGTGTGGTCATAGCATAAGGATATGTCACAAGAGAGAGCAATAGAATAGTGAGCCCAGAAATGGAACCACACTTACATGGCCGTGTGATTTTTTTGTGTGTGCAAATTTTATTACTTTATTTTTGTTATAGATGTTTCTCCTTTTTACCCCCTAGACACCCTCCTCCCAATCTCTCCCCCAACCCTCCACATTGTTGTCTGTGTCCATTGGTTATGCACACGTGCATATAAGTTCTTTGGTTTATCTCATCCCTACTCCCTGCCTGCCTCCTCTGAGGTTTATCAGTCTGAACCATACTCCTTTCTGTGTCTCTGGGTCTATTTTGTTCATCAGCTTATTTTGTTCATTATATTCTACAGATAAGTGAGATCATGTGGTATTTGTCTTTCTCTGACTGGCTTATTTTGCTTAGTATAATACTCTCCAGGCCTCTCCATGACGTCTCAAAGGATAAGAGATCTTCCTTACAGCTGCATAGTGTTCCATTGTGTATATGTACTACAGTTTTTTTATCCACTCATCTGTTGATGGACACTGGCTGTTTCCAGATCTTAGCAATTGTAAATAATGCTGCTATTTTTACTATAGACCGAGGGACTTTATTACAGACCAGTGCTATTCTGTGGATTGTTATTGAAGAACCACTGCTCTGAAGACATTCATTAGGCAACTACTATGAACATAGTAGTACATATATTCTTTCTGATTGGTGTTTCAGGCTTCTTAGGATATATTCCTAGAAGTGGGATCACTGGGTCAAATGGCAATGCAATTTTTAATTTTTGAGGTAACACCATATTGTTTTCCACAGTGGCGCACCAGTCTGCATTCCCACCAGCAGTGTACTAGAGTCCCCTTTTCTCCACACCCTCGCCAGCATTTGTTTGATGATTTGTTGATGGCGGCCATTTTGACAGGTGTGAGGTGATACCTCATAGTCGTTTTAATTTGCATTTTTCTGATGATTAGTGACGTTGAGCATGTTTTCATATGTCTCTTGGCCATTTGTATGTCCTGTTTGTAAAGGTGTCTATTTAGGTCCTCTGCCCATTTTTTAATTGGGTTCTTTGTCTTCCTTTTGTTGAGTTGTATGAGTACTCCATATATTTTGGCAACTAACCCCTTATCTGATGTATCATTGGCAATTATGCTCTCCCATACAGTGGGTTCCCTTTCCATTTTGATGGTTGTTTCTTTTGCTGTGCAGAAGCTTTTTAGTTTGATGTAGTCTCATGTTTTCATTTTTTCCTTTGTTTCTCTTACCTTACGCATTTTATCAGTGAAAATTCTGCTGCGTGTGATGTCTGAAATTTGTTGCCTACATTTTCTTCTAGGATTTTTATGAATTCACGAGTCACATTTAAGTCTTCTATCCATTTTGAGTTTATTCTTGTGTATGTTGTAAGTTGGTGTTCCTCTCACATAGATGTTTCTCTCTCACATCAATATTTCTTTTTCTCCCTCTCTCTCTAAAATTAATAAAAACATTTTAAAAAAGGAAATGAATAGCATGGTCACATAATAGGAGAAAACATTTGCAAAATATATTTCAGACAAAGGACAGGTATCCAGAAGATATAAATAACTAAGAATATATAAAGATGTTCTATAAACCAATAATTAAAAGATAACCTAATTAAAAATGGCAAAAGTTATGAGCAGTCAGAAGATCTATAAATGGACTTAATATGCACATAAAAGTAATAAAATAGTCATCAAGAAATAAAAATTAAACTATACACTATATACCCACCAGAATTGCTAAAATTAATAGGCTGACAAAACCCAGTGTTAGTGAGGCTATGGAGCAAACAGAAGTCTTCTACATAGTGAGTGGGAATGCAGAACGGTCCTGTCACTCTGGAGAAAGTGGTTAAATGTTCTCATATAAGTCTTTTTGTGGATATAGCTTTTCATTTCTCTTGGATAAATAAATACTTAGGGATGGAACTGCAGGGTATATGATAAGCAATTCTACTCCCAGATATTTACCCACACAAAGACTTACATGAGAATGTTCATGGCTAGCAGCTTCATTCATAATAGCCAAAACATGGAAACAGTCCAGGTGTCCATCAACAGAAAAATGAATAAGCAAACTTTTAAATTCACACAGTGTTACATATTTCTACTCAGCAATAAAAAGTTACAAACTGGATGAATTTTTAAAATGTTATACTGTGTGAGAGCTTGACAAAATAGAATTTTCAGTTAATAAGTTATAATGTTCTGTGGTTAAAAAAAATGAGAACACGTTGCCTCTGAGGGAAGAGGAAAGGAAAGGATTAGGAATAGTTATGAGAAAACTTTTCTCTGGTATACCTTGATAGGGGTTGGATCCGTGCATTTGTAAAAACTCATTGAATATTACACTTTATATTTATGCATTTTATTATGTGTAAGCTTTATCTGAAGAGGAAAAAAAAATGTTTTTTGTTAAACCTCACCCGAGGATATTTTTCCATTGATTTTTTTTAGACAGAGTGGAAGTTGGGGAGAGGGAAGATGGAGAGAAAGAAACATCGATATGAGAGAGACACGTTGATTGGTTGCCTCCTGCACAACCTTGACAGGTGCTGGGGATCGAATGTGTAACCCAGATACATGCCCTTGACCCGGAATCAAACCCATGAGCCTTCGGTCCAAAGTCCGATGCTCTAACTGTTGAGCCAAATGAGCCAGGACAGGATAAATTTTTTTAAAAGATGTTATTTTAGCCCTGGCTGGTGTAGCTCAATTGTTGGGTGTTGTCCCATGCACTGAAAGGCTGCTGGTTTGATTCCCAGTCAGGGACATGCCCCGGTTGTGGCTAGATCCCCTGTAGGGGGCGTGCAGGAGGCAGCCAACCACTGTTCCATTCTCACATTGATGTTTTTTTCCTCTCTCTATCCTGTCTGTCTGTCTCTCTCTCTCTCCCTTCCTCTTTCTCTAAAAATCAATTTAAAAATCCAAAAAACTTTTATTTTAGGTCCTGACCGGATAGCTTGGTTGGTTAGAGGTTATTCCAATATGCCAAGGTTGTGGGTTCAATACCTGGTCAAGGCACATACAAGAAACAAGCAATGAATGCATAGACAGCTGGAACAACAAAATCACTTTCTCTCTTTCTCAAAAAACATCTGATTTTAATGCAGGTGATCTGAAGACCACACTTTGAGAACTATTTGGTTTGACTGATTTTCAGAAATAATCCTTTCTTGCCATGAAAAATAATTCATAGATTACTAATGTAACATTTTGAAGTTGTTCTTTAAAAATTCATGGCACTATCAATGTAAGAGTGTCCAAACCTGCAAAGAATTTTTAATGAGATTATTTGAGCCAAACTGAGGACATGCCAGGAAGCAAGATCTCAAATGCTGTGGAGAATGACAGTTTTGCAGTTATTTTATACAATTGGAATTAAGGAGGGAATATCAGATTACATAAAGATGGGAGAAAGCAGGGCAGGGAGATCACTGGTTGGATTGCTGTATAGCTAACGAGACTGTCTTTCCTTTAGGGTGGTTATTCTTCAGAGGGGTCTGAAGGAGGATTTCCTGGCATTTCCCAGGTGTGTTAATCTAGATTCACAAGAACAATAGAGCTTGTCTAAGGCAAAGATAAACATTGTATAGGCATAGGGCATGACTACCCACATGACCTGCCCAGTTAGGAATTTATAATGAGATCACCCTGTGTAGTTACTTTCCCTTAGATTACAGAGCCCCTTTTTTTGTCCACAGCACTTTAAAAATTTTAAAGGATATATTTGTGTATAGTTATATAAATATTGTATGAAAAGTGTCACTTCCTTATTAGAAGATTAATAAGTGGACAAGGATTTGTGACAATATTATATAGGTCCTTATTCCAATAAATTTTTAAAAAATTCTCATCCAAGGATATTTTCCCATTGATTTTTAGAGAGAGTAGAAGGAAGGGAAGGTGAGAAAAAAAATCCATGTGAGAGAGACACATCGATTGGTTGCCTTCTGCATGACCCCAACTGGGGCCGGGGATTGAACCTACAACCCAGGTATATACTCCTAATCGGAATTGAACCCACAGCCCTACCGTCCTCAAGCCAACACTCTAACCGCAGAGCCAAACCAGCCAGGGATAGATGTTCTTTTTTAATATCAAGAATGGAATTTTAACATCAGGAGGATTTGGACATGGAAATAACTTTGCATTAAATTAGATGTCATTGAATTGGTTAAAATGTGGTTTGAGATGGATATTTACAGTGATGTTTAGTAAACTAGATGTTTTAAATATGCCTTTTCCAGGTGAACTGCTGGCTTTCACCACGGTGCAATGAATGCATTTATTTATGTGATAGGCTTTTAGTGTCCTTTACTGTAAGATCCTAGGTGATCAGAAAATTAGAAGTTGTACTTCATGTTTCTTAATCGTAGCATGAATCTGCAGACTTTCAAAAGTGCTGCAGGAGAACAACTGGAACTTGATACTAATGACCAAATGTTGACTCATGGGTATGAGGCAAATCTGATCTTACTGGTTTATAGATCAAATTATGTGGTCAGCTGTCAGTTCACATCCCAAATAATCTCTCCTACAATAAGATTAGAGATGCCTGAAATTTCACCACTTAAAGATATTTGCTTGTTTCCAAATTTTCCTGATAAGAATCATTTCGGGCACTTATTAAATTTCAGACCCCTCCCTGTATTAGAGATTGGAATTCCTTGCTTACAGACTGGTTCAGTGGGTCTGGAATGGGATGAGAATTTACTTGTATTTTTAACTAGTACCTTCTAATAATTCTTATCAGGAATGTTTAGGAAATACTGCCCTAAAGTGGAGCTAAGTTTATCAAACATTTTTTTTTTATTCTCACTCGGGGACATTTTTCCATTTTTTATTCGGATAGAGCTGGAGGGAGAGAGACAAAGAGAGAGAGAGGGAAACATCGATGTGAAAGGGACACATCGAGTGGTTGCCGCCCACACGCCCACAGGGCCAGGGCCAGGGACAAACTGCAACCGAGGTACATGCCCTTAGTGGGAACCGAACCGGGGCCTCTCCGGACCACAGGCCGACGCTCTAACTGCTGAGCCAAACCAGCCAGGGCAGTTTATCAAACATTTTTGTCCCCCACCGCTACCCCGCAAAAAAAAAGATGAAGAAGAAGGTGGAGAAGAAAAGAAAAAAAAAAAGCAAAATCACCTAGAGACCTTGCTGAAATTACACATTCCTGGACTCTACTCAGTGCTTCTCATTCCTCCAGGATGAAGCCCCCGAATCTTCATGTTTTTAGAGCTGTGTTACCTGAGAGAAAAGATGCATTTGATGTGAACCTTGAGAAGAGATTTATCTGCTAAGATGGACTCCCCATGCTCTACCAAAGGCCCAAATTTTATGAACAATAAGAGTCCAGTAGCCGTTTGCTGACAGGGGCTTCTCACGTACTCTGTATGCCGGGAAGAACTGCAGACTGAACTCTCTGCTTCCCATACTGTGTACTGCCGGGAAACCCTGGTTTAGTCCTTCTACCAGTGGACTGAGACCTGCACTGTCCAATCAGAACTGCACAGTTTGGATACTTCATTTACATAAAATGGACCTAATTGGGAACCTGTGTGGGAACTTTCACTATTGGAAAAAACAAACAAACAAACAAAAGGCCTCTCCTTTAACTTGGTGGAACACAATTTAAGTTGCTACCTGAATCTGTCTCCTGAGCTGCAGCTCTTTTTGCTCAAATAAATGCTTTTCTTTATTACAGCCTAAAATTAATTTTGGTTTATAGAGCTCATGCAATGCACAGATCTGAGTGCTGTCTTTCTGGTGTCACTGATTTGTGGAAGGTCCTTGAGTATAAGTTTTCAGTCACTCTGATGAAAGGAGGGGGGCAGGAATAGGAGGTTGAAGGAAAGATAATTTTAGAATTAAGGACAGATCTTAGTGTAAGAGCCAGGTGGAGGACAAGGAGAACCTGAAGGATAGTGAGCATACCTAAGAGAAATAAGAGAATCACCTGGGGACCAACCATCCAATAGCTGCAGCACTGCCTTCTTTGTTGGGTGGAACATGGATGGGTAAGCCATAGGAAAGTGACTTTTGAAAGCAGCTACATTTATTACCTTGCAAGTGAAAATCTGCCTGCATGCCATAGATCACCAGTTCTTGTTTTACATGCTGCTATAAACATTTATTGGTTTTTCTCTTGTGTAGTAAGAAGAAAACATAACTTATAGACCATCTTCTGGCAGAAGATGATAGATTTGGATCATAAACGGGAGGCGTTGGAAGCCAGGAATCAAAAGTGAAGAAATTCTGCAAGCCCTTGGGTGAGAAAGGTGATGGATTTATATATTCACCTGCCCCACATTGTCATTATATGGTTATCTAATGTGAGGGTGTTGCTTTTAGGCAGATATGTACCTTCACCAGTGTAAGGGAGAAGGTGGAATAAGCTGCTGAAAATGGGTTAAGCACACATTTCTCCTTAGGCTACTTCTGTCAGCAGATCCTGTCATCACCTTCTCGGCATTCACTTGTACTATTTCCCAGGACCCTTCGCCTCCTTCCCAGGCTAAAGCCTTAACCTGAAATACCTCATTAATATTGATAGCTAACATTTATTGAATTCTTACTGCTAGACACCATGCTGTTGTGCTCTCCCTGCATTCTTTCCTTTCTTGAAACAGCCCAATGATCTGGATACTGTGATTATGATCCATTTTGTAGATGAAAAATGTGAGGTTCCAAGAGGTTATATAACTTGCCCAGGACCTCCTCGCCAGGAAGTGGAAGAACCACAGTTTACAGTGGTGCTGACTTCCCATTCCATACTTGCTGCCTTCTTTCCCTCAGAGAGAAAACTGGGGAACCACACTTGCACGTCCTCCAGTGTACCAGACAGGCAGCCCGACTTGAAAGACCTTTTCGAGAGGTTGTCAGTTCCTTAAAAGCATTTAAGTTTTCATTACAGAATATTTGAAAATCAGAGAAGAGAAAGAAATCACCTGTAATATTGCTGACCTTATATAACTATAATTATTTTAATGTATTTGCTTTCAGGCTTTTTTTGGTACATGTGTATATTTTTTGATTGTCACTTTTGTTTGTTCTGTGTTCAGAGAGGGGGTTTGTTCTAGTTTAAAGTTTGTATCACGAGCAAACAGTATCATGAACAAAAAACATACATTCCCAACTCCAGTATGTTTTACCTGACTTTCCACGTCTTGCTCAATCCACATCCCCTTTAAGCTTTTCTTGATTTTCAAACCCATAACACTGTTTCTCTACACTAATCTTCTCAAGCACTTTCTGGCTACACTTCACGTTTGATGATCATCTTGTTCTCCATCTGCTAGATCTAACATTTTTGTCCTTTTTTCTTATACCCTTTTCCATCCCCAACACTTAATTCAGTGCTTTTTCCATGATGTCACTTATATTTTTTAACATTTGATATTTGAACCAAATTGCTATTAATCAGTTTTTCTGAGATACTGGAATGATTTTAAACTTTTTGGTGTGTCTTTCCATGCCTTGTAGATTCCTGTCACTGTAACCATGCCAGAAATGACAGAGAATGAGACTCCTACGAAAAAGCAGCACAGGTATGTAGCTACAGTGAAAAAAAAAAGTTTCAGAAGAAGCAGAATTAGTCCCTACTTTGTTAAATAGGTAGTCCTTAGGGAACTTTCATTTGGGTGCCTACAAAACCATTACTTTTCCAAAATATGTATGGATAAATAGAAATAGGTTTATGGAAAGGGGTACACAGTTAAAATTTACCTGTCCTTATTCTGCCAGCAGTATAACAAGTATAATACCAAATCTATTCTAAATGTTTAGTTTCTCCTGAAAATTTTACTTGCATACAGGATTAGTCTTTGTAAATCCTAAGTTCATTCAGGCTGAAGTCAGTTTGAATAGACATTTTGTGACATTAGAAACCATTAGTGCCAATATGCATATCAGTATAATATTATTTCTGGTTCTTTGTATAGCCCCCTTCTGAATTTCTAACATTTTGGCCAGTGTTTCTGTTTAAATTACATGGCCAATGCTTCCATTAATATTAAAATCACTGTTCTCGTTTCTTACTCAATAGCTGTTAGAGAATGTTAACATATTGAGTAATAGTACCTGAAAGGGAAAAATCAATGTTTTTAGTAAATTAGCTTTTAAGAAAATTTAAGGGGTTGGATAACCTAAGGCACATAACTGCCAAGGGTGGCTAAGATGCCCATTGCCAGTGCATGGGTGCTAGTGGCTGCCCTACTTCCCTCCCTGGGGATTTCCAGGTTCCTCTCTACTTGTCTCCTTTCACACTCACCCCACTTCAGCCCGGGTGCCAGGCAAATATCAGAAATCACCTACTTGGCACATCACTTTGAGAGTTGACTACCTCCTTAATTATAGTTTTCAAATAGTTTTCAGTGATTGTTTTACTTCCTGATAAATGGCCTGTGGGTATGGAAGAATAGAGAATTGTATTTACTTTCAGGAATTGTAGATTCTGAATTTATATCGCTATATCTACAGTTTTCATACCATAATATATATTAAGAAAATTTTTCTTCAGATGGTTTCTTATTGATGCAACAAATATAAATTCACAAAATTTATTTTTATGGTTCTTAAAATATAAAGTGAGAATGTTTTTTTATTATTTTCATGTTATTTTTTGTTTCAGAAAGAAAAACCGGGAGACACACAATGCAGGTAGAAACAACAATTTAAATTTTATTTGTTAACATTTTTGCATTCAAAATGAAATTATACTACAGTTGATTATAAGCTTTTATGCTACAACTATAGACTCATTATTCATTTGTTTTAGGAAAGTGTTTCTTTATTGTTTTTAATTGACAAAACACCCCTGCAGCTCATGAAGATGGCTTGCTTATCATCTTCTGATTTATTGTCTATTTAGATAATTTAAGGATTAATATACCCCTGGAGCTAGTGTTTTAAGTGATTTTACCCATTGAGTGATTTTAGTATTTTGAGTGATTCCAGATATACTTTTCCTAACTAGAATGAAGAGTATGTGTCTTTGCAGAAATTCCAGAGGGGGCTGGCTGCCTAGAGGAATAGGGAAGAGATGAGCAACAGGCTGTAGATCTTAAAGGTACTTGAAATGTGAACAGTCTTAAGTCAAGTTGTGGAGTTCTCAATTATAGGAAGACGTGTAGAAAATAAATATTTAATTTTATCTCAAACATGAAAATTATAGGCTAAAGCCAGATAAACATTTATAGAAGTAATTGTGCATCCATTTACAATTTGGTACATTTTATAACATTTATTTTGCCTCAGGGATTTCACTGAGATCTAAAAAAAATTTATAAGTTAATTCCTATTATCTGTATTATATGAATGATATCTTCCTTTCCCTGAGGAAAGGACCCTGGGGAAAATTTTATCTATGTAGAGATGAGTTGAACACTGGTGAATATTGCTATTTCCCAGAAGGAAATTTACTGCTTATGAATTCCCCTTTATCACTGTGGGTAAAGAGTCTTAATGTTTTGTGTGTTTTTTTTTTTTTTACCTCCGCACATTAAAAAATTTGCTCTCAGATAACAACAGATATTATTGTTAGAGTTGTTAGAGAATTCAGAAGAAAGGTGAACCATATTTTATTTTATTGCTTTTTTTTTTTTTTTTTGGCCATGTGAGTTAAATCTAATCTTTTTTGGCTATATGACCTAAATGTTTTATTGGAGTCAAATGTCACATGGTGCCATAAATATATTCTGATAGTAATTTATTGAGAGTGATTAGATATCATTGAAAAGGATGTCCTTATTGCTAGATTATAAAGCAAAAAGTCTATATTTTGCAAAGCAAGATCTACCTATGCCATAATCTGAAAGATCATTTTTTTAGAAGCACTGGAATCCTTTGTTAGACAGGAAGGTTGTAGAAAATTTTCCAACAGAAAATAGCCAAGACTAATGTTTCTACTAACAGTGTCTTGTAGAACTTATTTAGATAATTTCTTGTGTCCTCTTGATCCTTCTGTACAACTTTTAAAGTTGTAGCACATAAACCTGGAACATTTCCCTGTTCATTGAGACATTGTCAGTTACCCAGTTTCTTGGATGGGAAAAATTCTGTGTGGCCAAAGTGAACAGTCCATACCCCATAGAACCATAGAAAAGACCGAACCATTGCCTTTTCTTGTCTATGTTAATTTATAACTAATAGCTGTTTCTATTCCACAAATGTCCTCTAGTCACCCTAAAAGGTGTTTTAAGGTTCTGTAATCTGTTTAGAAAGGTCTCATTTGCCCATCTGCTATAAAGAGGCATATTTCTAGTAACTTAGTTTATAAGTGGGTTCTTGAAATTTGGTTATTCAAATCTCTAGTATGTACTTGAAATATAATATGATAATTGCCTAACGGCAGTGTAATATTAGCAGTTTCTATTTATAATTTGAATTTAGTTATTACAGATCTCATTCTTTAAAGTGCTAGCAAAAGTATTGCCTGTATCAGTTTCCATAACACTAGACTTAAAATATGGCAATCTTAGAAATCTTATTATAGTTAGTCTCAGTAGATACTATTTGATAAGATTTTCTTAGGTTTTTCTTTGCCTAAAATTTCTTTACCTAGGGAGAAAGAAGCAATTTGGCTGTAGGTTTGATAAATGGATTTTTTCCCCTCTCTAGTGGAGAGGCATAGGAAGAAAAAAATCAATGCTGGGATTAACAGAATAGGAGAACTGATCCCATGTTCCCCTGCGCTGAAGCAGGTAAGAAGTCCACTCATTTTTATTCATAACTTGTGAACAGATAATTCTCTGTTGTGTCTGTGCTCACAGTGATTATTTTTGTTCCCTGTGATGAAATGTTTTTTGGAGTTAATATTGCTTCATAATTTTTCATGTATCTGTGTTTAATTTTTCCCACACTTCTAACAGTCTTCTAGGACAGTTTTCTACATGATCATATGGACCATATCATTTCTAGATCTTTAACATCTTGAATTACTCAGTCCTATAATTACATTTATATATGTGCAGCTGTATTTACCAGGCATTTCTTTTCTTTTCTGCCAATCATGTTCTTTACTATCTTAAATGCTTACCTAGAATCTTCTAAGGATCTCTTCTTTATTTTGTTCTCTACGCCGTCAACCTCCACTTAAATCTCAGTTTACTAAAGATGACAGTTTTCCCTAATGAAGATAGTTCTTGTTTTCTTTTGATAATGAGGATAAAGTGTGCTCACTGAAAACAAAATAAAACAATAAAAATGGAAACAATATGGAAAGCATAAAAAAGTTTAAAAAATAAATTGATATAGTGATATTTTAATCACTATTAAAAATGTCATTACACATCTCTCTAGACATTGCTTTATGATATATCTGTGTAGTTTTATAACCTGTTTGTATTTTCACTCAGTGGTACTTGGTTGTAGGTACCTATCCTCATGTGTTCTCCCAACATTTTAATGGTTATATAGTATTCCATTGTAATGGCGTATCATAATTTGTGTTAGATTTTTTTAATCTTTATTTTTATTGTTGGCACTATTACAGATGTCCCCATTTCCCTACCTTTGCGCATCTCCACCCAGCCCTCTGTTAGCCTTTTTAAATTAATTTTTTGTATTATAGTATCTCATGGTTTTTATTATCATTTCCCTGAATCTAAGGAGGTTTGAAACTAGTTTGAAAAGCTATTTTTTTTTTTTTTTTACATTTTAATTGAGTATTAGTATGTCCTCTTTCTATGTAGTGACTATTCTAGTTTTTGACCCATTTTTCTAGTGGGTTTTCTTTTTAAAAATTATTTATTTATTTATTTTATTCTCACCTGAGGACACTTTTGCATTCATTTTCAGATAGAGTGAGAGGGAGAGAGGGAGGAATAGAGAGAGAAACATCAACATGAGAGAGACGCATCGACTGGCTGCCAGCCCACACGACCCCAACTGGGGCCAGGGACAAACTGCAACCAAAGTACATGCCCTTAGCGGGAACCGAACCCAGGTCTCTCTGGACCATGGACCGACGCTTTAACAGCTGAGCCAAACTGGCCAGGGCGTCTCTTTAAAAATTTTTTAAATTAAATTTATTGGGGTGACACTGGTTAATGCAATTATATTTTTAATTAAATTCATATGTATAAACATTAATATATACATGCATAGCAAATAGCACTAAAAAGCTCAAAACAACAAACATTAGTCTCTGTCTGCTGCTTCCCAATTCTAATTAGCTCCTTAGAGGCAATCATCCTTAACTGCTTCTTCTGGTATTTACCTTTCTGTTCCAAAATAACATGCTTATATTACTCTGTCTTAGTTTCCATTTTATGTATTATCTGTTGGCTTCCTGTTGTGCTTTTCCTTTGGCTTTCCCTTGTCGAATCCTCCCAGTATAATTCTACTACAACTTTTCTTTTTTTAATCCTCACCATAGGTTATGTTTATTAATTTTATTTATTTTTTCAAACTTAAACTGGTTTTATTTATTTTATTATTTTATTTTTGTTTCAGATGTTTCTATGTTTATTAATTTTAGAGAGAGGAAGGGAGAGAGAGCGAGGCATCGATGTGAGAAAGAAACATAAATTGGTTGCCTCCTGGATGCTCCCCGATCAGGGATTGAACCCAAAACCTAGGTATGTGCCCTGACGGGAATAGAATCTGCTACCTTTTGGTGTACAGGATGATGCTCCAACCAACTGAGCCACCCAGCCAGGGCTGTACCACAGCTTTTGATTAAATTGGCATTTAGTTTTTATGTCATTAAGACGGTCTAAATATTGTTTATGGTTGAGCCAAGGAGAGTACTATATTGTTTCACTTCATATGTAATTTTTGTTTATTTGGAATTAATAGTTGTCTCATTGTTTTACATTTGCTTGATTTTCCATATACCTCTCTTTAATTTTTTCCACACTTCCAACTGTCTCTTGGTGCAGTTTCTCCATGGTCAAATGGACTACATAATTTCTATTTTCCCTTTGAGTCTTTACTTCTGGAACCCTCTACCCTTCCTTTTCAGTCTCTCAATTGGTCGGTGTCCTCCAGCTCTTCTGTTTTTAGTTTCAGCTGTCATATTTTTAATTTCTAAGAGTCTTTTTTTTTCTTATTCTTTTTGTTTCCTTTCATGCCACATGTTTGTTTCATGGAGACTATATTATCTCTTCCCTAAGAATGTTACAGGGTTTTTTAAAAAAAGTTTCTTCTATTTTCTGTGTTGACATTATTTTTCTTCTGATTTCCACCCTCCCCCCAACCTTTGTCTTGATGTTTTGTCTTTCTTTGTGGAGACTTTCCTGAAATGTTTAGTGATACTTAAGTTATTTTTCAATTTGAGAAAGAGGCATTAAAGAGCTGTTTGAGCCCAGGCTGGTTTGGCCTGCAGACCGGAGAGTCCTGGGTTTGGTTCCTGTTAAGGGCACATATCTTGGTTGCAGTTTGTACCGGCCCTGGTTGGGGTCATGTGGGTGGTGGGTGGCAACACTCGATGTGTCTCTCTCACATTGATGTTTCTCTTTCTCCCACCCACTCTTTCTGAAGATAAATGCAAAAAAAAAGTCCTCGAGTGAGGATAATAAAAAAAAGAAAAAGAGCTGATTGACTAGGCTTGTCTGATGGTGGCCCTGACTGTTAAGTAATTAGTTAGTAAAGTAGTGTTGCCGCAAAACTAAAAAATATCCGTATTTGTAGTTTTTGGTTTTTTTTTGTGGGTAGCTGTTAATTTAAAAAATTATTTTATTATTTTTTAAATCTTCACCCGAGGATATTTTTCCATTTATCTTCAGATAGAGTGGGAGGAAGAGAGAGAGAAAGAGAGAAACATTGATGTGAGAGAGACACATTGATTGGTTGCCTCCCGAATGATCCAAACCGGGGCCAGGGATGAACCGCAACTGAGGTATGTGCCCTTGGCCGGAATCAAACCTGGAACCCTTTGGTCTGTGGGCCGATGCTCTAAGTACTGAGCCAAACTGGCCAGGGTGCTATTTTTTTATTTTTTTTATTTTCCAGAACAGAATCTTTCAGCCCTGGACCTAGCGTGGGAACGGTGGGAAGAGTGTGAGGCTAGTTGCCATTATTCTGGAAGCTGGGTCCGAGAATTGAGTGCTCTAGGGTCTCAGGCTTTAGGAGGCAGAGTTTTACTTCACTCTTGTTTTTACCCATGTTCGCTTCTGTGCCAAGTGTCCCCGAGGCTGAAATTCTCTGGTTATATTTCACAGAAAACAAACTTGTCTCCTGTGGTTGGACAGAAAGGGGAAGTCATCCAGTTGCATGAACGTGTGGGGGTTGGTTCTTATTACTGCATAAGAAGAATCTTTCCACCAGTCCCCTCGGTTTAACCCCATACCTCTCACCTCACCTTCTGTGGTAGCTGGAGCTTCCCAGTCCTGAACCTCCAGGCTTTTGGAGGGAGGGCCAGATCATCTTGCTCACTTCTCAACACGGTCTTCCCTTGGGAAGGTCTCACTCTCTAGTTTCTTTTCATTCTCCCCCACAGGGTAGTATTTAGTTTTGCGTAAATGTAATTTTCACTCTTTTTTAAAAAAAGTACTTTCTGTTTCTTTAACAGAGTAACAAACTTAAGGGCAGATACTGTGTCTTCTGACTGTTTTTCTTCCTCCACAACTCAGTGTATAGTAGCTGCTCAGTAAATATTTGTGTTTGCCTAGTAAAATCTTATTTTCCTGCTTGCATTCCTATGAGTTTCTGTGAAAGGAAACCATAATCATTTTGCTTTGTTGGTGTCTTAGAATGTACAGTGGAAGTGACTGTTTGGCTCCCAGAAGCTGAAAGATTAAGATTTTCTTCACTGTTGCTACACATCCCCACCCCCCTTGGGAGCAGAGAGGCAGTAAGTGGGCACTATCAGGTTCTCCCTGTGTCTTGACTCTTAACTTAAGAAAGGACAATATCAGTTTTCTCTCTCGAAAGTGTTTCCCGGGTTACTTTGGGTCTTTTTTGGGACTCAATCTAAGGAGCCCAGAATTCTGTCTTGCTGAACCAAAGCCCTAAATCACAGATTCCTACATGAAAAGAGCTGTCTGGTAAAGTACTGGAGATATTTAAAACTGCACACGGGAGTAGAAGTTAAACAACTACTGCAACATTTTAAAAAATAATTTATTTTAAATTTCAATTGCAGTTGGCACTGCAACATTTTTAATAGCTGAAGAATAAAAAATTGAAATGCCTCTTATACAGCTTAAATATACATCAGTAATAGGCTGGTAAATAAAATTAATACAGCCTTCAGAAATTGTAATATAGCTATAGATATCTAAATGCTATATAGAAGTATCTCTACGATAAAAAGTAACTTCTATCTGAATTTAAAAATACGTGTGCACACACACACATTGGCATAGAATATTCTGGAAGGGTACACAAGTAACTTAACAGTGGTTGCCTCTGGAAAGGGGTCTGGAAGGTTAAAGCCAAAAGGAATGTTAATTTTCATTATATATCACTTCAGATTATTTACATTTATTTGCCATATGCACATAGTATATTTTTATTTTTATTTATCACAATTTTTTTTTCTTTATTGATTTTAGAGAGAGAGAGAGAGGGAGAGAGAGATAGAAACATCAATGAAAGAGAACATTGATTAGCTGCCTCCTACATGCCCCCCACTGGGGATTGGGCCCACAACCTGGTCATGTGCCCTGACCAGGAATTGAACCAGAGACCTCTTGGTACATGGGTTGACATTCCCCCACTGAGCCACACCAGCTGGGCTATTTTTTATTTTTAAAGTTGTTTATTAAGAATAAAGCATTGGCCCTGCCTGGTTTGGCTTAGCAGTTAGAGCATCGGTCCTCAGACCAAGGGGTTGCGGGTTTAATTCCCGTCAAGGGCACATACATGGGTTGCAGGTTTGTTCCCCGACCCTGGTAAGGGTTGTGTGGAAGGCAGCCAATTGATGTGTCTCTCTCACGTTGATGTTTTTTTTTCTCTCTCTCTCTTCCTCCCTCCCTTCCACTCTAACTGAAAATTCAATGGAAAACTGTCCTAGGATGAGGATGGGGGTGTGGGGGTGAGGATATAGAATTGCCCTGGAGCTGTCTGGGAAGAAAAGCTCCTTCTCTAGGCTTGAATCAAAAATTGTCAGTCATTTTGGCAATACTGGCTTGGATGCCCAAAGCTGCCTAAAGCTGTGGAGGAAAAGACGAGGAGAACTTTCAGAGAGAGGAAGAGAGAGAGAAAACATCAATGTGAGAAACATCTATGTGAGAGAGAAACATCGATCAGCTGCTCACACCCTGCCTGGAGATCAAACCTGCAACCTAGGGAAACCTGTATCAGCAATTCAGATATGGCATAAGTGAAGTCCATGTTCCAGAAAGTTCTTCCAAAACAAAGCAGTTGTCTGTGGAAGATAAAACCACAATGGTGCTGTGTAAACCCAAACTTTTACCTTTAAAATTTCCGACTTTGGAGAAACTGGAGAAAATGCAACAAGCAGCACAAGAAACAATTCACCTTGCCTGGCCGTTGTGGCTCAGTGGTTGAGCGTCGACCCATGCACCCAGAGGTTGCTGGTTCGATTCCTGGTCAGGGCACATGCTCACATTGTGAACCCAGCCTCCAGTGGGGGACGTGCAGAAGGTGGCCAATCGATGTTCTCGCTCATCGATGTTTCTATCTCTCTCTCCCTCTCCTTTCCTCTCTCTTGAATCACTAAAGAAAAAATATTAGGCTGATTCTGAAGACTCTGTCACGGGGGTGTTTGGAATCAGATGCCGGCCAGCTGATAAACGGCTCTTATTTGGACTTTAAAAAAAAAAAAGTTTGCCAACAAGAAATGGCAGAAAAGGAACAACAGTAAATAACTCACTAATAACTTAGCACCCTACCTTCCTCACTATTAACAGTAGCTGGAAAATAATCCACCTATATGCTGAAAGTATGTTAATAAAACTGATATTCATGTAGATAATGTAAAAATAGCCAAGACTAATGAAATTTGTATGGTGAATTTAAACACTCTGTTTGTATTGAATATAAGATATTAAAAAGCTACCCCCCCACCACCACCCTCGCCAAAAAAAAAAAAAGTTGCCCTGGTCAGTGTGGCTCAGTTGAGAACTGAAAGGTCGCTGGTTCTATTCCTGGTCAGGGCAGTTGCCCAGGTTGTGGGCTCAGTTCCCGGTCAGGGTGCATGCAGGAGACAGCCGACCCATGTTTCTCTCTCTCACACATCAGTGTTTCGCTCTATCTCTAAAATAAATAAAAATATATTTAAAAATAAAAGAATAAAGCAATACTTTGACATAAAATACAATCTTTCAGAAAAGCTTAGGAAAGGAATATGTTGGGAGCATGACACCAAAACTCAATCAAGTGGCATTGTTTTCTCAACCTAATATTTGGAATAGTTTGTAGTTGTGGTTGACAGAGTAAAGAATGACATTATAATCTAAAATCTTTAAGTGGTTTTGAAGGCCCTCATTGGCCTCTTCTTCTACTATTCTTCTCTGTGTACTTTACTTTAGTCGGCTCACCCCTTACTGTTCCTCCGCACAGCAAACAGAGCCCTGCCTGAGGGCTTTGGCTCTTGCTGATCCTGCTGCCTGAACTCTCTCCCTCCAGATACCTATAAGCCATACCCTTTCTTGTACCTCCTTCAGGTTTGTGCCTAAGTGTCACCTTACAGAGAAGCCTTCATTTAGGGGCTGCTATAAGACAAATAACATAGCCTAGGTGGTTTAAACAACCAAAGTTTATTTCTCACAGTTCAGGAGGCTGGGAAGTCCAAGATCAAGTTGCTAGCCAGTTCGGTTCCTGGTGTAGGCTCTCTTCCTGCTTATGTCCTCACATGACACAGAGAGAGAGCAGTCACCTCTCTCATGATTTTTCTTCTAAGGGTGTCTTGTCTATTAGGGATCTACCCTCATGACCTAATTATCCCCCAAAGGCCCAACCTCCAGATACCATCACAGCAGGGGTTTGAGTTTCAAGGTGAATTGTAGGGGAACACAGACATTCAGTTCATACATAGAGTAATTTCTGCCATCTGTCTGGCCTCTCCTTACTTTGCTTTAGTTTTCTCCACAATACTTAGCAAAGATCAGGAACTTTTTCTGTTTTGTTTATTATATCCCTAGTGCCTAGGACAGAGCCTGACACCTACTACATACTCAGTAAATACTTAGTAAATGAAAGATGAACATAGAAGCTTTTGAATATGGTGCATTTAAAAAATTTAAAAGATACATATCACATAGGTGTGATAAAACCAATGCTTGAGGTTTCTTCTGGCAAGTTCTTACCTTTCAGTGAAACTTTTAAATGATTAATTTTCTTTGGCAGAGCAAGAATATGATCCTGGACCAAGCCTTTAAATATATAACAGAATTGAAAAGGCAAAATGATGAACTCCTGCTTAACGGAGGAAACAATGAACAAGGTAAATATTTTTTCTTACTTTTTTTCTTCTTCAATGTTCAGGACTTTGTGTCACAGTGCAACCTACGTTAGGATACAAAGGCTTTTTTGCCCACAGACGTCATTAAGACTGCGCGTTTATGGGTCTGGGAGAATAGTGTTGCAGATAAATTCGTATTAGTTTACCTCTTTTCTCCTTCTGTGAGCAATTCTAATCTTGCAGGCATACATGACTTTTATTTTGGACTTGTCTGTGTTTTTCATGTTTGCTTAACTCATGGTATAAATAATGCTGGATCTCCTTTATTCTAGTTGGATCTTCTAGCTAGGGGAAGCCCATACAAGGATATGGGGGGAATCCTGCTCAGTGTAACTTAAAAAGATAAAGATATGATAAAGATATGCCTGTGCCAAAGACCAAACACTCCATTCACATTGTTTATATTACATGTGACATATGCATCAGACTGCCTGATCATTGAATGATATTTGATCTTTAGATCAAGGTGAGTCTTTTTATGTTATCAAATTAGTTCTCCTTTTTCCACTTGAACTGAAGAATGAGTTTCCTTGTAACAACTGAAAAGAAAAATATCACACGCAAGTGTAAAGCTCAGAGTGGTAGGCCAGTTTGATTTGTCCTTTATTTATGGCTCTGACAAGAGCAGAGAGAAATTTCTGCAACAACTCAGAAGGTCACATTAAAAGGAGAGAAACAAAGGCAGAATTTGTGGAGGTGGGAGCCATGCTGGGTTGTGTTTATAAGAAGGGTGAAGGATATTGGAAAGCATATTCGAAAGGTCAGCCTGCAGAATTTCCTTGTTTACTTTCGGTTAGATAACAACTTATCCCCTCAGCTAGGTCAGCTGTTTTTCACAGCCCAGGCCCTGTTTATGATGCTGTCAGGTAGTGAGATACATAATATATGTTTGGTTACCATTCTGGGGCACCCCATAAAAGGGATGTTAAGGCTGGAATGATGTGTAGTCTTTTTTTAAAAAATGTTTTTCTTTATTGTTTAGAGAGGAAGGGAGATGGAAACATCGATGAGAGAGAACATCGATTGGCCGCCTCCTGCATGCCCCCCACTGCGGATCGGTCCCACAACCTGGGCATGTGCCCTGACCGGGAATCGAACCGGTGACCTCTTGGTGCATGGACTGATGCTCAACCAGTGAGCCACACCGACCGGGCAAGATGTGTAGACTTTTCTAGTGAGGGTTTTGGTTTCACAGCCCAGAGAATGAGGCAGTCAAGTTACCTTAGGGAAATGGGAAACTATTGAATAAACACAACTTGCATGGGGCTCAGGAAAAGCTGAACAGCCAGGTCGGGGGTTGGAGCAACGAGTGAGGCAGCTTCCATGTGACAGTTATCACCTATGTTGTCATCCTTTCTTTGGTTCTCTCTTTGTGCATCTGCTGTCTCTTCTTTTCATCTCCCAACATTTCCTTCACATACTCACCGTCCACATGACAGTCGAGAACAGTGGTCAGAGCAATGGCTGTGGGAGTCAGTCCCACCTGGGTTTGTGTTTCGGTTTCATTTGTCATTCTGTACCTCTCGTCAGTTACTTAATCTCTCCAAGTCTCAGTTTCCTTATCTTAAAATGAGGATAATCATAGCATCTGTCAGGTTGATTTTAGACACATTATGTAACTACGCTGAGCCTGTTTCTCACATCTGAAAATCGTGATGACGATAGGTAGTTCCCATCTCGTGGTTGTTATGAGAGTAAAAGGTAATTCTGGTAAAACACTTAAAGTCTGGGACAGAGTCAATGTTTGATAACTGTTATCTGTTATGGTTGTTATTGTTGTTGTTATTAAGTGAGACAATGAATGAAAAGTGCCAGGCATATAGTAAGTGTGCAATAAGTGAGAACAACCATTATTATTTGGTCCATAATAATTTTTAAATTTCTAATGTCTATGGCACATGGCATTTTTTTCTGTGTCTCCTAGTTTAGACATCTGAGGAAAATAATCTGCTAGTCTCAGCTCATCCTTGTCAGGATAGAACCGTTCATTTCAGGCACCTCAAAGGGCCTGGGCAGAGGGAGTAGGAGAGTACCCACCCCTGCGGCAAGGCAGGTAGGAATGGATGGGGTTACAGAGCATAAATAGCAGCAGCCCAGGCAGCCGTGTGTGTAAGATCCATGGGTGAGGCTGTCTCCCTTAGAAAGGAACAGGGTGTGACAGGCGTCTTCATTGCTCAGTAGCGCGCACACATCGGCCCTGCCAAGGAAGATGCGGGTGTCATCGTCGACGCTTTCCTCTGTGCTCTCCCACTTTCCTTCCTGCAGGTTCTGCTTGGTCTCTGTTGCTTCGAAGGGTTGATTAGAAACTAGTTTAAAGCCATTTATAAAATAGATGATCTGTTACCACCTTAAATGATGTTAGCTGTTGTAGCATTTAAATGCTGTTATATTGATATTCAGTGTTATTTTCCTAGTGTGTTACCATGATAACAGTGTGTCTCCCCTTGCTTTACTTTTGTAGCTTCCCTATCGGAAAGTTTTGAATTGGGGATTTTTTGCTTGTTTGTTTATTTGTGTTTTTTTTATCCTCACCTGAGGACATTTTTTCCCCATTTTTGTTCAGATAGAGTGGGAGGGAGAGAGAGGAAGAGAGAGAGAAAGAGAAACATTGACGTGAAAGAGACACATCAAGTGACTGTCTCCCACATGACCCCAACCAGGGCCAGGGACGAATTGCAACCAAGGTATGTGCCCTTGACTGGAATCGAACCCGTGACTCATTGGTCTGCGGGCTGACGCTCTAACCGCTGAGCCAGACCGGCCAGGGCATGAATTGGGAATTTTAAGATTTCTATATTATGAGTAATTTTTGACCTTTAAATATATATACTTTTAAAATATAGGATAGAGGTTTGAGATACCATTCTAAAAAGAAGAAAGCTTGTGTTAGGAAATAGCTGAAGATTTTCAATTGAAGTGTTTAGAGTGCTAGAGTGAGATTTCAGTAGTTTTAGTATAGTTCTTAAGTTATTGTAAATACTGACATTTACAGGTAATTGTTTAATTTTTATTTTTAATGTTATAGCTGAAGAAATTAAAAAGCTACGTAAACAACTGGAAGAAATTCAAAAAGAAAATGGCCGATATATTGAATTACTGAAAGCTAATGACATATGCTTATATGATGATCCCACAGTCCACTGGAAAGGAAATCTTAGAAACTCAAAGGTCTCTGTTGTTATTCCCAGTGACCAGGTTCAAAAAAATATCATTGTTTATTCCAATGGGAGTCAGCCTGGTGGAAACAGCCAGGGAACAGCTGTTCAGGGGATAACCTTTAATGTTGGTCATAATTTACAAAAGCAAACCGCCAATGTCGTGCCAGTACAGAGGACTTGCAATCTTGTGACTCCTGTGTCTATTTCTGGAGTTTACCCTCCTGAAAACAAGCCATGGCATCAGACCACAGTTTCTGCATTGGCTGCCAACCAGCCTGTTCCTCTTTGTCTTCCGGCTACCGTTCCTGCTCAAAATCTTCTCGAGCTTGCCACCTCCGAGAGCGAACCGAGTGTGCCTGGTGCCACTGGCAGCTCCCTGGTTGCTGTTCCCGCTGGGCCTGACGCTCACCAGCATCGTTCCTTGCACACAAGTGTAAATGATCAAAATTCTTCAGAAAATAAGAATGGGCAAGAAAACCCCAAATTGTTGAAGAAAACGGTCCCTTGTGCCACAAGCGTCCCCTCCAGCTCCTCAGCAACTGCCACTAAAGTGAACCATGGAGGCAAGTCCTGCCCGAGCATACAGGATTTCAGAAGCGATTTGCAGACTACCTTCGTTGTTTCAGTTACCACCACAGTCTGCTCCCAGCCTCCCAGATCCGCAGGGGATTCTTGTCCAGTGAGTGTCAGCAAGGGTGCAGACTCAGTAAGTGTTACCGCAGTGGTGGCCCCATCTGCCCCTGGAGGAGGGAAGACCACCACTCCTGTAAGCAGTCTTTCTGCAAACCCGTTGGGTAATGGTTGGACTCTTTCTTGTTCTTTGCCTTCTTCAACTGTTAGTGCTTCAGATTTGAAAAACATTAATAGCCTTACCCGGATTTCCTCAGCTGGAAACACGCAGACAACGTGGACTACTTTGCAACTGGCAGGAAACACTGTTCAGCCCTTAAGCCAGGCACCATCTTCTGTGACCCCAGTAGTAAATGAGTCTGGGACTAGCCCTACCATAACCATGCACAGTAGACAGGTGGCTGCAGGCGTCAACCTGAATAATTCCTTTCCAGCAGATGGGCAGCCAATTGAGCAAGTAGTTGTGACCTTGCCTTCCTGTCCATCTTTACCTATGCAGCCACTAATTGCCCAGCCACAAGTGAAATCTCAGCCCCCCCAAAATATCCTTCCATTGAATTCAGCAATGCAAGTGATTCAGATGGCTCAGCCAGTGGGGACAGCCGTTAACGCAACTCCAGCTAATCAAAATGTTATCATTCTTCAGCCACCCAGCACCACTCCATGCCCAACAGTGATGCGGGCAGAGGTTCCCAGCCAGACTGTAGGTCAACAGATAGTGATCATACAGGCAGCTAATCAGAATCCTTTGCCACTCCTCTCGGCTCCACCTCCTGGTTCAGTTCGACTCCCTGTCAATGGAGCCAATGCTATAATAGGGTCTAACTCCATGCAAAATGTTTCAACCCCACAGACTTTTGGTGGAAAGCATCTTGTCCACATACTACCAAGACCTTCATCTTTATCAACATCTAATTCAACACAAACTTTTTCTGTTACCATGTCGAATCAACAACAGCCTCAAACCATTTCTTTAAATGGACAGCTCTTTGCTTTGCAGCCTGTGATGTCTTCATCAGGAACTACAACCCAAAACCCTATGCAAATTATTCAACCAACCACCAGCGAAGATCCAAATACCAATGTTGCCCTGAATACATTTGGCGCTTTGGCTAGCCTCAATCAAAGCATATCACAGATGGCTGGGCAAAGCTGTGTACAATTGTCCATTAGCCAGCCTGCCAATCCTCAAACTGCTGCAAATAGTCAGACCACCCCAACTAACTGTGTTTCATTAACAGCAACTGTAGCATCTCCCATGACAGCAGATAATGCAGCCACACTACCCAGTATTTATAATCTAGTGACTACTCCCTCGGTAAACACTGTAGCTTGTTTGTCTAGCGTGAAGTCAAAACGGTTGAATAAGAAGCCAGGTGTCAAGAAACACGTATCAGCTAACAAGTCGGCATGCCCCCTGAATCCAGCCAGAGATGTGGGCAAGGCGGACTGCCCTGGCACCGAAGGTGCAGCAGAGCCACCCAGTCATGATGGACTGCTGGAAAGCCCCCCTCTTGTGTTGCCATCTGTCACTGTGTCCCAGGCAGAAAGTACTGTGAGTGTTTCTGGTTCACATTCTTTGGATGTTCTGAATTCGGAATCAGTGATACCTGAGTCTATACCCAAATCTAAGTCAGCAGAAGAGTCTAACTCACCCCCCCAAGAATCTGTAACAAGTGAACATTTTGCAGTGGCCCCAGCAAAATCCAAAGATTCTGCTCCCATAGTGCAACGAGAGTCATCTCAAGATAAGCCACCAACTAATTTGGCATTGTCAGATGCTGCCAAATCCTGGACTTCAGCCAATGTGTTAATTCCATCTCCAAATGATCCCCACGTTTTGGTTTCTCAGGTTTCTGGTTTGTCATCTACCACGAGCACTACAAGTACTGACTGTGTTTCTGAGGTAGAAATCATTGCTGAACCTTGCAGAGTTGAGCAAGATTCATCAGATAGAATGCAAACCACAGGTCTCTTAAAGGAGCAAGGTTTAACTGCATTGCTATCTGGTCTTGCTAAAGAAAAAGACCCTCAGAAATCATCTCTTTCAGTCCAGGTGGGCCATCCTGACTTTTCTTCAGAAAATTCTAAAATGGTTGATTCAAGTGTTGATTTACATCCCAAACAGGAGCTGTTACTGATGAGCAGCGATGACAGAGATCCAGGACAGCATCACTCCTGCATCCCCGATCAGGAGGTTATTCATGGCTCTTTGCTCACCAGCAGGCAGGCTGACTCTCCCATGTCAACCAGCTCTGGCAGTAGTCGTAGTTTCTCAGTTGCATCCATGCTTCCTGAAACAACTAGAGAGGATGTCACCAGCAATGTAACAACTAATACGTGTGACAGCTGTACCTTTGTAGAGCAAACTGATATAGTCGCTCTTGCAGCAAGAGCTATTTTTGACCAGGAGAACCTCGAGAAGGGAAGAGCTGGCACCCAGGCTGATATAAGGGAAGTTACTTCAAAGCCTTCCGAAGCACCATCTTTAGAGGGAGACCAGCCTTTCAAGACGCAGATCTCTAAAGAGAATGGCCCAGGTCAGGCAGAAGCAACACCAAATGAATTTAATTCTCAGGATTCAACTGAAGCATCTGTGGACAGGCCCCTTGAAAAACCAAGTTGTTCTGTAGGAATTAAAACATCAAATGCCTCTTTGCAGGTTTTGACTTCTCAGCCACCAAGCATCACCAGTTTAAGTGTGAATAATCTTATCCATCAGAGCAGCATCAGCCATCCTCTTGTCAGCTGTGCGGGATTATCCCAAACTTCAGAGCAAACACCTGTTTCTGCTACAGTCAACCTGACTGTTTCACCTGGTTCCTATGGCAGTCAGCCTCCTGGACCATCTCTGATGACTGAATATTCCCAAGAACAACTAAACACTGTGACTGGTACTGTACCAACTCCACAGATTCAAGAGCCACTCTTAAAGCCAAGTCAAGAAAGCCGTAAAGACTCTGCTAAGCGTGCTGTCCAAGATGACCTTCTACTGTCTTCAGCTAAACGTCAAAAGCATTGTCAACCGGCCCCCCTCAGGCTTGAAGGTATGTCACTGATGACCCGAACTCCAGACAGCATTTCTGATCAAACTCAAATGATGGTTAGTCAGATCCCTCCCAACTCTTCAAACTCAGTTGTGCCTATTAGCAACCCAGCACATGGAGATGGCCTTACACGATTATTTCCACCTAGTAATAACTTTGTGGCCCCTGCATTGAGGCAAACTGAAGTTCAGTGCGGTTCTCAGCCTTCAGTTGCTGAGCAGCAGCAAACCCAGGCCAGTCAACATCTACAGGCCCTGCAACAGCATGTTCCAGCTCAAGGAGTGTCTCACCTGCATAGTAACCATCTCTACTTAAAGCAACAGCAGCAGCAGCAGCAGCAGCAGCAGCAGCAGCAGCAGCAGCAAGCAGGGCAGTTACGAGAGAGGCATCACTTATATCAACTGCAGCATCACATACCTCATGCAGAGAGCTCTGTCCACTCTCAGTCCCATAATGTCCACCAACAGAGAACCCTGCAACAGGAAGTTCAGATGCAGAAGAAGAGGAATCTTGTTCAGGGCACTCAGGCGTCACAGCTTTCCTTACAACCGAAGCACCATGGGACTGACCAATCCCGACCCAAGAGTGGTCAGCCACATCCCCACCATCAGCAGATACAACAGCAGATGCAGCAACACTTTGGAAGCTCCCAGTCAGAGAAGAGTTGTGAAAACCCTTCAACTAGCCGGAACCACCAGAACCATCCCCAGAACCATCTCAATCAAGATATCTTGCACCAGCAGCAGGAGGTTGCAGGCAGGCAGCAAGGCTCAGGGGTTTCTTCTGAACATGTATCTGGGCATAACCCAATGCAGAGGCTCTTGACATCAAGAGGCATAGAGCAGCAGATGGTGTCCCAACCAAGTATTGTGACTAGACCTTCAGACATGACCTGTACTCCACACAGACCAGAGAGAAATAGAGTTTCAAGTTATTCTGCCGAAGCACTCATTGGAAAGACATCTTCTAATTCAGAGCAGAGAATGGGTATATCGATCCAGGGTTCTAGAGTTTCAGATCAGCTTGAAATGAGAAGTTATCTTGATGTACCGAGAAATAAGAGTTTGGCCATTCATAATATGCAGGGTCGCGTTGACCATACTGTTGCCTCAGACATCCGCCTTTCTGACTGTCAGACATTTAAACCAACTGGAGCCATTCAACAGCCTCAGAGTAATTTTGAAATACAATCTTCAAGAAATAATGAAATAGGTAACTCTGTATCATCATTGAGGACTATGCAGTCTCAGGCTTTTCGAATTAGTCAAAACCCTGGTCCACCACCAATTGACCGCCAAAAGAGATTACCTTATCCTCCGGTTCAGAGCATCCCAACAGCAAATGCTATCCCACCAAGGGACAGTGAAAACACATGTCATCAAAGTTTCATGCAGAGTCTGCTTGCCCCTCACCTTGGTGATCAGGTCATTGGGAGCCAGAGATCACTCTCAGAACGTCAGAGGAATGCACAGTGTGGTCCATCCTCTGCAATTGAATATAGTTGTCCTCCAACTCATGAAAGTGTCCATATTAGAAGAGAGAGTGAGAATCAGAATAGGGAAAGTTGTGACATGTCCCTAGGTGCAATTAACACCAGGAACAGCACCTTGAATATTCCCTTTTCAAGTTCTTCTTCCTCAGGAGATATTCAAGGTCGAAACACAAGTCCCAATGTTTCTGTACAGAAGTCCAATCCCATGAGGATTACTGACAGTCATGGGACCAAGGGCCACATGAACCCTCCAGTCACAACGAACATGCATGGTGTTGCAAGGCCCGCTTTGCCACATCTATCTGTGTCTCATGGAAATGCTGATCAAGGGCCTCCTGTACGTCAAACGAATTCTTCAGTTCCCCAGCGATCAAGGCATCCCTTGCAAGACAGCAGTGGTTCCAAAATTCGTCAGCCTGAAAGGAATCGTTCTGGAAACCAAAGGCATAGTAATGTCTTTGATCCAAGTCTTCCCCATCTTCCTCTATCTGCTAGTGGCAGTATGATTCTTGGACGCCAACAGCCCACTACAGAGAAGAGAGGAAGTATTGTTCGTTTCATGCCTGATAGCCCACAAGTACCTAATGATAATTCAGCACCTGACCAGCATACACTATCACAAAATTTTGGCTTTCCTTTTATTCCTGAGGGTGGCATGAATCCACCAATAAATGCTAATACTTCTTTCATTCCACAGGTTACTCAACCTAGTGCCACTCGAACTCCAGCTCTCATCCCTGTAGACCCCCAAAATACTCTACCTTCCTTCTATCCCTCATACTCTCCTGCTCACCCTACACTGTCCAATGATATTTCGATCCCCTATTTTTCTAATCAAATGTTCTCAAATCCTAGCACAGAGAAGGTAAACAGTGGAAGTTTAAATAACCGATTTGGATCAATTTTATCTCCTCCAAGACCTGTTGGTTTTGCTCAACCAAGTTTTCCTCTTCTCCCTGATATGCCACCAATGCATATGACCAACTCTCACTTATCCAATTTTAATATGACATCTTTGTTTCCAGAAATAGCTACAGCTCTTCCTGATGGCTCAGCAATGTCACCTTTGCTTACAATCGCAAACTCTTCTGCCTCTGACTCTTCCAAGCAGTCCTCAAACCGACCTGCCCACAACATAAGCCATATTTTAGGTCATGACTGCAGTTCAGCTGTTTAAATACTGATAGACTAAATGTAAATGTAACAGGTGAGATTACAAATGTATTTGTGTGTGCATGCACACATACATGCACATGGAGAGAGAGATTGTATGTGTGTATATGTCTTTGTGTTTATATAATCAATTTTCAGTTTTTTTCTGAGTATAGGGCATCTGTGTCAGAGATGATGTGAATACTGGGTTGTAAAAACAAATTATCTTTCATTTTTTAATTGCATGATGTGCTTTTTAAATTTTCCAAGGAGATTTGCATTTTCAAGTGATATGTATTGTTATATTCCCTAAATATTAATCAGCTGGAAGTTGGGGGAGATCATCTTAGCGTGTGTTGGATAGTAGGAAGGAATCTAGATTTTGAACTTGATTGTTGAACATTTGTAAAATGAAATAGTTGAGTTGTTCTCCCAAAGTACAGAAAGTTCAATAGAACATATTGGCTCATAACCAAATGCGGGTTGATGTAAGCATCTTGAACAGTTTCTTACCCATGGCAGGTGTTGAATTAACATAGAATGAATATCCATGGTTAAAGTCAAGCAGTTAGCAAATAAATGAGTTGTTTAATCAGCCTTTATTCCCAAGATTTGGTTTATGTAGAGGCTTCTTTCTTAATTATAACAATGAATAAATTATCTGAATTTCATGTTAGGGAACCATGTTATCCTTTAATGTGCCAAAATCCTTTAAGCAAAGGTCTTCCTTAAACAGCCTTAAAGATAGAAAATTGAAAGGAAAGTACATAAATATTCTCCATTTTGTGCTTGCATTTTGCATCAGACCATAGGATAGAGTAGTTGTATTGTGAAGTTTTGCATGTGTTTAGTTAAAGATTGCTGTTTCATCAGTTGAGTTTTGTTTTTGTATTCTCTCTTCATTCCACTTATTGATCTTGAGCCTCACTTTTTTGTTGTTGTTAATCCTCACCTGAGGATATTTTTCTATTGACTTTTAGATAGAGAGGAAGGGAGGGAGGGGGAGAGAGAGAGAGAGAGAGACATCAATATGTGAGAGACATTGATTGGTTGTTTCCTACACTGACCAGGCCTGGGGATCCAACCTGCAGCACAGATACATGCCCTTGTCTGGGGATCGAACCTGAGACCCTTCAGTCCTCAGGCCACCGCTCAAACCACTGAGCCAAACTGGCCAGGGCGAGCCTTACTTTTGAAATATGTCTTTGCAAAGTCTTAAGCTCTGTCCTTATTTTCATTTACTGATATTTATATTTAAAATATGGCACTGTATATTGCATTATTATTTTTTATAGTAGAGTTATAATAAGAAGATGAATTTGTTCATTATTTTTCCTGATGGTAGATGTGAAATGGTGCTTTGAAAATTGTTTTTGTATATGTCCATGTGTATGTGTGAGTATGTGTGTACACATAGATTTTAAAGTATAAACTGGTTGTTTAAAAATAGGCCTGCCATCTAAAAATGGGAAATTGAGAACCAAGACCTGCTGAAGTATAGAAAAACTTGATGTAGGGGTTTTAAAAAGCCCCACTGAAGTTAATAATCTAAAAATATATATGTATGTATATATTCATATATTGAATTTTGAAAACTTAAACTAAGTCAACAACAATATATGCTCATATTCTCAAGCCCACTACTTTTTGTTGTTATATTCTGCCAAAAATTGATGGAGTGGGAGAGATGCATATAAATTTTTCTTTCTGCTCTGTTAACAAAGTGAACCCAAGGACCAGCATTTTTGTTTTTTCCTCCTTAAACCTCCTAGGGCTTGGTTAGAGCAGTGAACTCCGTGCATACCTCTTCTAAAGACTCAGCAAAGGGTCATCTGTGCCTCTCCAACTGTTCTTACCAAACTTTCCCATCCGTTCTGGCTGCCGACTGGAGCAGCCTCCTGGGGACAAAAAAAATACTGTCAGTGAGAAAAGTTTCCATATTTTCTCCCTTCAAGATGGTCATAGGAAGGAATAGGAGAACATCATGAATAAGTTATTCAACAAGACCACAGGTAAACACAGTAGTTAAAATTTTTGAGAAAAAAAAAATGTGAGATTTATGACTTGTTCTTTATCTTAACTGATTTTTAAGCTTTAACATTTAAGTTTTTATTTGTACTTGAAAGGTCCAATCTGCCAAATTCAAGGAGGACAGTTTTTAGTGTGATTGACTATTTACTATTTATTATATTCTCTCTCTCTCTCTCTCTTACACACACACACACACACACACACACACACACACACACAGTGGCTAGTGAGTTCTAAAGAACTTGGGGCTCTGAAATATCATTGGAACTAAGGTAACAAACTAAGGAGAAACTCAGTTTGAACACTGCATTGCAAAGGCCTCAAAGCCTGGAACTTCCAGATACTTCTCTATTGCACTGATTGCATTTTTCTGCTCAGCTCTGGCAAGAGGCAGCATTTACATTTCTCAGAGCTTTCATTCCAGGCATGTAACACTTTGATCCCAAATGAGTCTTTACCCCTAAGTAAGGCTCGTTTGACCACCTGAGGAAGGGAATGACCATCTGCAAGTAATTTGGCTCCTGCTCACATGTAGCTCTAATTATCTGACAGAAATGTGCATATATATGTGAGGTCATTTTACATAAGAACTCAATTCTGAAAGTGTTCAGAGCATAGTAATCTTATTTGATATAAAAGCACAAGTGTATGAGATTTACCAGCAGTATTAAGTATTTGATCATTAGAGCTGCATGATTTTGGGGTGGAATTTATTTTAGTACCTTGCAATCTCTGGATGTAATTTTTGGCAAAGGATTGGCAGAGAGCATAGTCAATTTTTGTTACAGTAAATTTAATGTTATTCTTGGCTTGCTAATATATGACTATAGAATGTAAAACCATTTCTACAAATAATGTTTTAATTTCTGGAAATATACAAACTTATGTATGAATTGTAATTGAGAGTCATTGACTAAATCATTTTTCTCTTTTAGTGTTACTAATCATGTAGAATCAGTTATAGAAAGTCGTCGATTTCTCTTAACATTTAACCCAGTAACTCTAATGAGGTGACATTTTTCAGATTTCTCATCATGTTTAAACTTTTAATGTGTCAATCATGGATAAAACAAATCAAGTTTGATGTAATTTCTTTTTCTTTTTTTGGTACGAGCAGGTTGTTTGGGGATGTTTTATACCACTTCAGGAAATTTATTTTTGTTTTACTGTAAGACCCTTTGGGGGTACCAGAGATGGCAACCTTTTTCTAAGTAAGGACTGAGCATTCCAGAGTCATCATGCTTTATAAAATCTTACACATCAGAACTGTGGAGAGGGAAGAATGAGGAGGGGATTTTGCAGCATGTCAGGGTGAACTTCGGTGAGGCTCAACTTTTAAAATCAGCCCTTTAAAATACAAAATTATTTAAATAAAATATTTAAAATTATTTTAAAGATAATTCCTTTGCCTTGCTCTTGCCTTCTAACATTAGCCATTTCCTGGAGAGGCTGAAAGTTATACCCCAAAGAAATGTGGGAAGGCATTTTAGTGGGAGTAAGTTTTAAAATTTTGAAGAAGGGTCAAACTTACAGATATGCATCTTCTTATCTGCATCCTTCCTAGGTTACATAGGTACCTAGGCTCTTATTTTCTTCCATCTGCTTCATGTCAAACAGGTGGCAGGGAATCTGGTCGTTTCCCTAGCACGATGATTTCTCCTTTGCCTTGAAACATTAATTGGGCACACCATCTCTTGGGTCAGTGTGAGACAGGAAGTAAGTCACGCTCCCAAATCAATGATTCCCAATTCCTGGTTTTGGGAACCACTATGTCTCCCACTGTATGAAGCGACAATAAGAATTTCTTGAAACAAAAGTAAATCAAAATTGATTTAAAATATTTAATGTGCCATAGAACTCTGTTTCTTGTTCTAATGAGCCTCCCCCACCACCTCCAATGGAGGACTGAAGAAAGGGCAAAGGTGGTCTCAAGAGATGGCCTTGGATTGCTATCCTTGGGGACCTGGAAGTCATTGTTATAAAACTGTTGTCTATATAAACCCTGCCTTTTCCTGGAGATAATTGCCTGTAATTTTGTACATCCAGAGAGCAGTAGTAATAGCCAGAGAAACTAGTGTGAAGTTAATCTGTGAGTGATGATTTTATGATACCTATATGTACACTAAAGGCCAGAAAATAGTTTCTTGAGATTACTGTTTGGCTACCGTTTCTCCTTCACCAGAGTTCAACAGAAAAGGATCTTTTTAGGGGACTCAACCATATTTTTCCCTGCATTCTACACTTCCTGTGTGAGCCTGAGAGTGTTTCTACATGAGTCTGTGGGAGACATCAGGTGTAAGGTGAGGCAGTCCAGAAATGCCAGTAGGAAGTGTTGAGGACCTTCTTGGACAGTTTCTTTCTAGTTCTGCTCACATGCCTCTTCCCTGGTACTGCACTTTACCCAAAACTGTGCCTCTGGTCCCAAGACCAGCCATTGGAACATATTATTCACCCACTCCTCTGTTATAGCCAAGGACCAGCCCGGATGGTACATGTCAGCTAATCAAACACCTGGAAGACACGTACAGCTGATGTTTCTCACTGTTGCCTTATCATTCTCTGAGCCATCTCTGATTCTAATCTAGTAAAAAACTTACTAGATAGAAGCAAGACTCCTTTTAAACTCAGAGCTTGTATGTGATGGTCATCCAACATTCTTATTTCTAGATTTGTGTAAGCCCCATCAACTGTAATCTTTTTGTGTCTTGTGCATGTATTCAGATGCTGCATAAACATGAGCCAACTTGCTTTGAAAATATTGGGTATAATATCCAAATTGGTGTTATTTTGGATGACTGCACAATCATTAGAGCTTTCATGAGACATACAACTTAACTATTTGCGATTTAATCTTTTTAAAAAAAGGTTATTTTTGTGTGTGTGGGCCCAGTTGTGTGTTCAGGTATACATCATACTATGTCATAGGAACTTAATGTTTACTCCATCTAGATCCCCTCTTCACTTTTCTGGATCTCTGTTCCCCATCCGCTCAGTCTTAAATCCATTTTTCATCTGTGAGGTCATTGAGGCACTGGACTTGATTATATTGGTAACCTTTAAGGGGAGTTGAACTGTTGATCTTCCAAGAAGAAAGGGACCAGACAGTGTTGCTTAAAATGCTGCAGTTGTGTTACTGTGAAGAAAAGATTTGCTTCCACTTTTAGCAGGCCATATATATATACATTTTGGTAAAAAATAGGTGGAAAAGTCTGAGAATATAATTACCTTCACAAACTATTTATAGATACACTGGGCGAAGCTTACTGTAGGGCAGTCACCAGAAAATCTAACTGTAGTGCTTTCTATGGTGTAATATTTGTATCTATTTTCATGCCAGCAATGTCCGCTGTGCACTGTGTCCTATTACTGTAAATCACCTGGTTTATAATTCGAATGGGAACTAACTTGTTTTGTAATGGAGTCCAGAGCAGATATGTATAATATGATCAGGATTGTCCTACAGTTGTAAATAAGAATAGGTCCTGTTTATTTTGACATCTTTTTACAAATGCATTGTATTAGGGTGTGAATATTCTGAACCATGCTCTTGTTTAAAGTTTTGAAATTTTTATTGGTAAATGTAACATTTTAATGGTTGTAATAATTATTTGTATAGATATGAATATAGTATTTTATTTAAGAAAATAAACTTTGCATTTTTGCATTGTGAATTCTGTTTTCTGATCATTGCATATGCCACATCAAACCCAGTATTAAAATGACTTCTCTTGCAAAACTAAAGTCTTATATTCAAATAATCTTTAAATTTTGCCAAAGTGTCTGAAAAATGAAACCATGACACATTTCCCTTGGAGATTGTGTTCCTGATCAGAGTCAACTTCGAAGAAATCATAATTATGATCAACACTATATTTTTAGAGCAAACTATATACTTCTATGCTATTATAAAAAGTAAAATTAGAATTTCAGATCTGAGAGATGATTCAGTCTCCACTCTCCTCCTTGCATGTTATAGTGGAGGAAACTGAAGCACAGAACTCTGGGACAAGAATTAGCTTTCATTACAGCCATAGCAGCTTGGTCCTCTCACCAGCATTAAGTTTGAGGGGGAAAAAACATGTTGCAGAAGAACTTGCGCAGGATAGAGCTTAAATGCTTATAAATCGAACAATATTGTTTAGGACTAGCCTACAAATGTAAAAATGATAAATTAAGGAAATGATAAACTCAAAGTTCAGAATAATGGATACTTCTTAGGAGGGAGGGAAGTCATATCAAGGAGGACCCTTTAAAAATGGTACACACTACTGACTTGGATAGCGGATACTCAGGTGTTTATTTCATTTGCACCTGAAGTTTTTGTCTTATAAATGTGTAAAATATATCCCAAAATTAAAGCAGGTAAAACAACGTCTTTAGGGATCATTTACTCCCAAATGTACTATAGGAAATGAATATATTTTCTTTGTTCCTGCTCTTTGGGAGTGTAGATTAAAACTCAGTGTTCTGATTAGCAAGTATTTAGTGTTTTTCCTACTATTGCACACGCTCCTCTCACAGAGAGGTCATGGATGTATCATATATTTTAATTACACAGGGAGCCCAAATGTGTTCTAAAGAGTATACAACCCATAAAAATGCAACCACTATGTATAAATTCAGTCTCCCCAAGATGAATGTGCAAGTTATAGCAATTACGTAAAGGTTTTTTTGGCTTTCCAATTTAGTTAGATGTTTGATGGAAAATGATTTTAATGACATATCTTTAAAAAGCCATGCAGGGGATTTTTACTGTTAAGTAGGGTGTAGGAGCCAGTGTCAGGTCATCAGTCTCGCTGCAATAACCAGAACAAAAAGAAAGAATAATCATATTTTAAGATACACAAAAACCCATCAACTATAAGATAGACTGGTGTGTTTTAACATGACAAAACATGAAAAAGTCACTGATGTGGTATCAAATTCCACATTGCAACTTCGGGAAACGACCATTTGTTGAGTTTTGGTATCGTATCAAAGAAGAAGAGCTACAGCCTGTCCAGTGTGGCTCAGTGGATTGAGTGTCGTCCCATGGCCTGAGAGGTCCTGGTTCAATTCCTGGGCAGGACACATGCCCAGGTTGCGGGCTTGATCCCCACTAGGGTGTGTGCAGGAGGCAGCTGATCGATGTTATGTATCTCTCTCACATTGATATTTATATCTCCCTTCCTCTCTCTCTAAAAATAAATCAATTAAAACATATAAAAAAAATAGCTACAATTATCTGGGAAGGCTACTCCCTTTTCCAACTACATATTTTTATAAGGCTAGATTTTCTTCATATACTTCACGCAAAATACATACTGCAGCAGAGGGAAGGCAGAAAGTGATCTGAGAATTCATCTGCCTTCATTAAGCCAGACGTTAAATAGATTTGCAAAAATGTAAAACACTGTCACTGTTCTCAAAATTTTTGGGGGGGAAAATAACATAACTAAAAATTTAATCATGCCCTGGCCAGTTTGGCTCAGCGGTTAGAGCGTCGGCCTGCGGTCCAGAGAGACCCGGGTTCAGTTCCCGCTAAGCGCACGTACCTCGGTTGCAGTTTGTTCCCGGCCCTGGTTGGGTCGTGTGGGTGGCAACCACTCGATGTGTCCCTTCACGTCAATGTTTCTCTCTCTCTCCCTCCCACTCTATCTGAACAAAATATCTTTTTTTTTTTTTTATCCTCACCCGAGGATATTTTTCCATTTTTTGTTCAGATAGAGTGGGAGGGAGAGAGAGGAAGAGAGAGAGAGAGAGAAACATCGATGTGAAGGGACACATCAAGTGGCCGCCACCCACACGACCAACCAGGGCCGGGGACAAACTGCAACCGAAGTACGTGCCCTTAGCGGGAACCGAACCCGGGTCTCTCCGGACCGCAGGCCGATGCTCTAACCGCTGAGCCAAACTGGCCAGGGCTGAACAAAATATCAAAAAAAAATGTCCTCGGGTGAGGACTAAAAAAAAATAAATAAATAAAAATAAATAAGTAAAAATTTAATCATAGAATAAATTATATTATGTAATGAGTTTATTGCTGTCTTTAAATGAATTAATATTCAAAAATTTTCATTTTATTACTATTTTTTTAATTAAAAAAAAATTTTTTTTATCCTCACTCGACATTTTTCGATATTTTGTTCAGATAGAGTGGGAGGGAGAGAGAGAGAAAGAAACATCGATGTGAAAGGGACACATCGAGTGGCTGCCACCCACACAACCCAACCAGGGCCGGGGACAAACTGCAACCGAGGTATGTGCCCTTAGCGGGAACCGAACCCGGGTCTCTCTGGACCGCAGGTCACCGCTCTTACGTGGAGCCAAACCGGCCAGGGCTCCTTTTTACTTTTAACAGTAAATATTGATAGATAAAATTTACATAAACAAAAATATCTTTGAGGTTCTCAGAAATAGTTAGGAGTATAAATGGATCCTGAGACCAAACAATTAGAGAACCAGTATTCTAGGGAAAAAACCCACAGGAAATAATATCTGACCATAACCATAAAAGAAATAATTGTTATATTAGACTTTATTAAAATTAAGAATTTCTCTTCATCACAGACTGGCAAAGATTATATATATCAAAAAGAAAAAGACTCACATGGTGATTTTTTAAAAATGGGCAAAGAACTTGTAAAAAGTATTTACATAAATGGCCAAGAAGTCTATGAAAAGGCACTCAACATCAGTAGTCATCAGAGAAATGCAAAATAAAGTGAAATGAGATACCATTACACTCTCACCCAGAAAGGCTAAAATTGAAGGAACTGACAAGTGCCAAGTGTTGGCAAAGATGTGGAATAACTAGAACTCTTATCAGTGATGATGGAAACTTTGGGAAATGGTTGGTGGTTTCCTTAAAATTAAAGACTTATTTTCCCTGTAACTAAGCAATTCCTTAGGGCACTGTGTATGTACCCTGGAAGAGAATTCATATAAGTTTACCAAAAGATATGTGTAAGAATGTTTTGGAAGCATTTTTTTTTTTAAACAGTAGCTCAAAAATGAAAACAACCCAAACATCATCAGTAGGAGAATGGATAAATGAAATGTCATACTCACAAAATGAAGCTACTGATACACAACAGATGAATTTCATAGACATTATATCAAGTGAAAGATGCCAGACAAAAAGGAGTGCATACTGCAAAATTCCAGTTACATGAAGTTCAAGAACAGGCAAAGTTCACCTATGAGGAGAAAAGTCAGAATAGTGATTATATCTGGGTCAGGGATTACCTTGGAACAGACATGAGGATCCTAGGAATGTTTTGTATCTTAATGTGGGTGGTTGTTACATTGGTGTATGCATGTGTGTGTACATACACATACACATTATGTAAAAATTTCACCAATCTATATAAACTTAAATTAGTGTACATGTTGTACATTACTGAATATATTTTACACCTAAATAAAAAGGTTAAGAAAAACTATCTATGGGAGTTCGAACTGATGTTGGTTTTCTCTTGATAAATTTCTTGAGTCAGCCAAATCTCGTTCATTTATTTTGTTTTTATTTTATTCTATTTATTTATTTTTTTGGTACGTGCCCCTAGCAGGAACCGAACCCGGGACTCTGGTCCTCAGGCTGATGTTCCAACCACTGAGCCAAACCGGCCAGGGCAAGTCAGCCAAATCTCAAAGTTATTTTGCTGTCACTCCTTAGAAAAAGAAAGAGCCATAACATTCTTTTGTATCAGGCTGCCATTGCCGGACTGTGTGACTTTGGGCAAGCAGCATCACCTCTGCATCTTAGTTTATTTGTTGGTACATTATCTGTCCTTGCTCCCTTACAGGGTTGTTGTGAAGGACAAAGAGGTTTTACATTGAAAGTGTTTTTACATAGTTGCAAAGGAATACTTAAGTATCAAGTGGCAATTTTTTCCCACGACCTCCCTCATTTCCATCCCCCTACACATGACACTGAAACGCAGGGCTCTGCTGGAATATAGTTGTTGGCCAGTGTCAACAGCTCCTTTGCCCTAGTTTTCTCCCTGTGAGAAATTAAGGGGATAAATGCTAATTTGCTGCCTACATAAATTCACAAGTCAGGTAGGTTGGGTACTGATATCCGTGTGCTGCTTAATTTTTCACATGAGCAAGTAAGCTACGGATTTAGGGGAAGATATGAACACCCAGCTTTGAACTATGTCTGTGTGTGTGTACGTCTTGCTTAGTGTTTTCTTATGTGGTTTAATCACATTCAGAGCTGTGGTTTGGAAAGATGCTGAAGCGAAATTGAAGTGGGGGAGAACTGACGCCTTAGGCAAGTTTGCTGGGAATTCATGCTTCAATTAGGTTAAATCCCATTTTTTAAAATCTTGCTGAGTGGCGAATGTGCAAATTCACATTACATATTTTTTTTAGAAGGCCTTAGAGACAGCTATGTATAGGAGAAAACTGCTTAGACTGTTATTGTTTCCAACCAAGTCACATAGCTTTTCTTGGTCTTACTTCTGGACAAATTTAGAGACACTTACCACCATTATCATTGTACCCCAAATGAGGAATTATGATTTCCCAGTTCAGTGCAGGCTAGTTTCTCTGGCTCAGTTTGGTGGCTGAAACCACCCCTTTATAGGAGGGGAGGGATAGGCCCAGCCCCGAAGAACAAAAATGGGGCAGCAGATTCAGCCTGATCTACTGGGCCGCGTGCATTCGTTTCTGAGACAGCTTTGGAGGACTTCTTGATTCTTGACTGTTTGTATCTCTGAATGTTTTTTTAGGGCTAAAAAAACCCTGCACTGCTGTGCTTTCTTTCCATTATTAATGTTGTGCTGGAGCCAACAGGTTTCCTAGTGGAAACCTGACACCTTATGCAACATATATTTCAGTTTAAAATGAATCTTTGGGTCTATAGCTCTTTGCCAAGTGCAATCATTGAATTTATATAAAGGACTTTGGTCTTAACTTCACGGGCTTAGAAGTTGAAGCAGCAGTCCTTATCTGAATCCAGCTGTTCCAGTTTAGAGAACCCAAATAATCCAAAGCTGCGGTATTACTTGCCTTCCTTAAAAGCACAGCAGGTTTCGCTGTCACTCGGGTTTCTGTAACAGACACATATCTTCTAAATTTTGGAAAAATCTTTTCATTTTGTTAATATGTTTAATAGTTATGTAATTTTAGGCTGTGTGTTTTACATAGATACATGCACAAATAAAAGTTGAATCATCATTGCACCACAATCTGTCTTTTCTCTGGTCTTGTTACTTAAACTACTCATTTCTGATGATTAATCCAGTTCCTGCACTATTTGCTTCATCTAGGGAACAGTGACTCTAAGGTTCAGTTTCTCTATCTGGGAAATGGGGACAATAGTAATTATACCGACTTCATGGAGGGGGTGTTTCAGTATTAATATGGTAATGTATATAAAACCCTTGACAGAAGACCTGATGACAGACGTCGACTGTTTTAGTGATCAGTTCTGCCAACTTTAATCTTCTAGGGGTTGGAGATGGGAATTTGGGGTGACAGTTTCCTATAGTAAGAATCCACTAAAGGGCTGACCTAACACCTCAGGGTCATACGTGTCCGCCAGCAAGTGTGTGTGTGGGGGAGGTGTTGCAATTTCTAAGAATTAGGGAGATTCTTGGAGCTCTTTGCTTGCTTATAATTTACAAATTATAATTGTTTCATGTACATCTTCCCTTTTGGCCTGTAGACCCCATGATGGAAGAAATTGTGTACGTTGTCCATTGCTGTGTCCAGCCCCTTACAGGGCCTGCCCAGGTATTTCTTGATTATTGACTGAAATAGTATTTCTGATTCTACATAAGTGAACAGAGAAGTAGCAGGGAAGAAGATATTTATTTATTTATTTTAAATCCTCACCCGAGGATATTTTTACATTTATCTTCAGACAGAGTGGCAGAGAGAGAGAGAGAGAAAGAGAGAGTGTGTGTGAGAGAGAAACAGAAACATTGATGTGAGAGTGACACACATCGATTGGTTGCCACCCACACAACCCCAACTGGGGTTGGGGACAAACTTCAACTGAGGTATGTGTCCTTGGCCGGAATAGAATCTGGGACTCCCTGCAGCCCGAGGCTCTAACCACTGAGCCAAACTGGACAGGGCAAGGGAAGGAGAGGATAAAGGGGGAATAGACCTCCTGAAAGCAGGTTACTTTACAAGCTGTCCTGTGTTAAGAGAGCAGTGAGCGAACCCAAGCCTGAATTTGTCCTCTACATAGAACCAGGTACTGAGCCTTGTGAAAGGATCAGATAAGCGATGTAATAAAATCATAGAATGCAAATTAACTTTTTTCTCTGATGGCAATGTTATAGCATCCTAAAATAGAGAGCTTTTGGATTATTGTGGTTAATCTTCCGTTTAAAGGACTTAGAGTCCTGATTCATGAAGAATGTCAAGAGTTTGAGGAAATTAGGGGCCCAGGAGCTATCGTGGGATTGTATGTCGAATTTCTCTTGCCCTCATTCAAATATCTTTCACTGTTTACACCTGTTTTCTAAATTATAACTATAGTGCTGGGATAAGAGATGGGACACTCAGACTTTATTTAGCATTTCACTGAAATGTGATATGACTTCACGGCTATTCTGTGTTAAAATATGGTGATTAGCTAGTGTTGATCTCCAGTGAAATGGATGTCTTAGATGACAGGGAATTCAAGGCAATAAAAAAAATGTAGACTAGAGCCAAGGAATTTTTTTTAATTAGAGTTCAGGGATAATCATGAAATCTAATCTAGAGATATTTAGGAAGAAGGCCGAGTTCTCCATTTCCCTAAGATTTGGGGGAGTAAAGGATAATTCTACGTGAATGATGGGACCCACTTCGTCTTCGTATTTCAATGAGAATAGAGACCAGGCGTCGGGGAAAATCTAAGATGAATTCCAGCTCCACTTGGAGCTCACAGAGGAGAGGTCCTTTTGCAGGGCAGTCCTGTCCAAGTGAAAACTCTATTACTATGGCCTTTAGACACTCAGAGGTGAAGGCTGACCTGCTGCTCCTGCCAAGCTTAGCCAAACTGAAGTCATTGTGTGGTAAGGCCTAAGATTTAGCAGGTACTTAACCTTGCTGACAGGGATGTCTTAATATAGAGGAGATATTAAAACTGAGCCACACTGATGTATCTTCTCCAAACAACATTAAAACCAAGACAAAAAAGCCGACTTTTAACTGGGCAGAATTGTGGTAAGCAAGGGTGTAATTGCTTCAGGCAGAGGCAAATGGTATCTTACTCATAATGCTTTTCCGAAACTTCACCAGGGGACATTCGAGTCATTTCAAACCCGAGGGACCTCCCGTGCTTCCTCTTTCTGGGACCTGTTTTGTCACGGGCGGACGGAAGCCCTCCTTCATATGAGCCGAACACGCAGGCTTTCCCTGCCGGACATTTGGTGACCCGCTGGTGGTGGGGGGAACATTGCATTTGGCGCTCCCTGAACCCCGGTAGTAATAGCTACTCCAGAGAACATCCAGGGCAGAGAAGACGACAGTGCTGAAGTGTGACGTCTTACCCCACTTCCCACTTGGCCCCAACTGTGGCAGCCACTTTTCTTCTGAGTCGGGATAAGACTATTAAGGGCCAGAGGCAATAAAATGCAGCAATAAGCGGCAGGGAGGGGGCCAGCTGGCAGGTTGGACCGGCTGGGCGGTGTCTCTGAAGGGGAGCGGCCTCCCGCCCGCCTGCGGTCCCCGGCCCCGCCCCGGCCCCGCCCCGGCCCCGCCCCGGCCCCGGCCCCGCCCCGGCCCCCCGGAGCGAGCAGCTGGTTTCCGTGCGGAGCTGCAGGAGCCCCGCGGAGACCGCTCTGGCCCGGCCTCCCGCGGTGCGGGGCGAGGCTGGGCACCGCCCCTGTGCTCTGCACACCTCCACCCTCGTCACCCTCCTGCAGTGCCCTGGTGACGGGGAAAGTGACAGAGTTCCCGCAACTTGCTGGAGGCCTCCGGGCAAGTCTCTGGACTAAAGTCGGCCTCAGGAGTCCTGCTCCGGCTCCACTGTTCATTCTAGGAAGAATGTTTATTTTTGCCCCATCCCCCAAGTTTTACATAGACTATCTCCCAGAGGGAGAAACATTTGGGTATTCTTTGATTGCATTTGGTGGCCCCCAAGAACATTCTGGTGGCAGTTTGGAGCAACCAAGGACGCGGCTGTCACTCTGCCCCCGGAGCCGGCTGGGTGACCTTCAGGCGTGGGAAGTCCCTTCCCCAGATGGACTCCGCTTTCCACTGGCTCCCACTGCAGCTGAAATAACCCGGGCGAGGCCGGCAGCCGTCCAGCCGCCGCGGGTGGGGTGAGCCCTGCGGCCTTCCTCGGGGTGTGAAGAGCTTGTTTTTCACGGGCGCTCTTCCCCCCTGGCTGCCACATGGTCCGCTGCCGTGACCCGCTCTCCTCCCTGCGGGCCTGCGCTGCCCGCTGCCCGCAGTGGCTGCTTTTCTCGCCCCCTTGCTGAACTCGCTCCCGGAGCCGCCCTCCCCTCGCTTTACCGAGAGCCGGCCCTGTGTGCCGCACCCGGGCCTGGGGCCGGGGCGCTGAGAAGCCTGCACCCCCGTTCTGTCCGCTCTGCAGGTGCGGTCCCACCACTTTCTTGAGTCCTCCAACCACGAGGCCCCACTGTAGGAAGAATGAGCAACAAATACCTTTAGAATTGATATAAGAGTGGGCTTGGTCTGGGATTTTTGTCCTGCTGTAGAGAACAAAACTGACCACAGTGTGTGAGTTTATAGCACAAGGCAGACATCAGAAAAGGGTCGTGAATACTGCAGCACAATTCATCCATTTCTTCAGGGTCTTTCCCCAAGTCCGTGGACATGTTTCCCAAACAAGCTATGGGACAGGCAACGTGTCTTAGAATTCACTTCAGGCCACAGGGCCACCTGAACAGACTTTGTTTACAATTGTTTAGTGCATTTTTTGGGGGGCTTTGAAAGCATTAGTGTATTAAAAGAAAATAATTCATTCAAATCAGCCATAGTTAAACAGATTCAAACTTTGTTTTCAATATTAGACAAATACAACCATTTAATAGGTGGCCTTCACATGGCCTATGGAAGCCAACAATATATTTTTTTTACATTTGCACATGAGTTTTGATTGTATAGAACACTTTAACCAGTAGTAACTTCTCCGATCGTACCACGATCATGTCAGTGAGGTAAGGATTTGTCTTCAGGGTGGGACGCCAACAATTTTTTAAGGAATAAAGAGTAACAGAAGACCAATTACAAATTTGGGGGCATTTGGGGGGGGGGGGAATCACAGAACATTTCATTACAAGCATCTTTGTGTTTTCAAAACCAGGGAAAGTTTGCTATTCAAACTTCCAAAATGTGTTTTTGAACACTATGCGGATATTTTAGAGAAAGGATCATTGTTTTTTTTTTTTTTTTTTTAAAGAATGGCTGATCTATTTCTCTAATGAATGATCAGGAGAGCAGAGGTGAGAGGTGACTGGCATGTCACGGGCAAATGTATGTATATGTGCCCACCTGTGTGCATATTTTTCTGATTACATCATACTCAGGTCACAAGGAGCCTGGTCAAAGTGGGGCTCTGAGGGGCAGAGCTGCCAGACCGTGGGGAGGGAAGTGGGACACTGAGATTTCAACACCTTACTGGGGAGACAATGAGAATCAGGTGCAACCAAGGCAATCCTAAATCCTATATCGTCTGTGCTCTTTGCATCTAGAGAGTTAGAGTAAGATGCATTTGCCCTGAGAGTTAGGTCTAGAGAACTCCAGGGAGAAAGTCTGGAGGCCCTGATCTGCAGGCAGCGACAGATAAGGGCTGAGTCTGTGGTAGAGGACCCCTCCTGCAGAGTCCCTGGTAAAACCCTTATTTCTTCCCCAAAGGTGATGCGGGCACAAAATTGAGCGGTTTGAATTGGAGGCATGAGGCAGTACTTTTGTCTTGGCCGAATTTCTCCAGGAGCCCGAGTTTGCTTGATGCTGATGTCACCCTTCTCTTAGCACTGACAGTCATTTCTCTTGCTCTTCCTGCTGCTAGAAGAGTTCTCTCATTTCCCCTTCCACCTTGGAGCTGGTGGGTGGAGTAACAGAGCCTTCTCAAGAAGGCAGAGCCTGAGTTATGGGGCCAACACACAGCAGTGAGATGAAGACATTAAAGAATAGGTAAGCACCCAAGTCCTGGTCCCAGAGACCTGTTAGGAGGAGTGTGTGACAAGCCCAATCCAGAGTCTTTCTAAGGAGGTCAGGAACCTGGGAGAAGCATGCAGCATTCCTTCTGAGGAGGTGACCAGCTGGTGCTGATAAAACACCTATCCCAGTTGGGTAGGGCATCGGGTCTAGCCCCCTACCAGACTCTGGGAACCACGTCATCCCAGGACCCCGGAGAAGCAGGCTGGCGCTTGAGATATCTAGAGCAGCAGATGTTGCAGACATGCAAAGGGGGCCCACGGAAAGTTTCTGGGCGGGGACTCGGAGCTGCTGACTGGCATGGAGGCAGCCGGAGGGAAGAGGGCGGCTTCATGCTGCCACTGCTGGCAAGTCCCAGGCGAGGATGGGAGGGGCCCCCGATGGCGAGTGGACTTTGATGCAGTGGTTGTCCATGTCTAGCGCAGAGCTGCAACTTAAGGGGATGGGGGCTTCTCGGCTCTTCAGGGCTTGCCTCTGTCCACAGCCGTGGCTTCCCTTTTGCCTCCCTCTTGCAGGTTTGAATCTCCCCTGCTACTCTCCTCCCTGTCGAATGTACACAGAGTTGACTCCACAGGCATTGAGTGGAGTATTTGGCAGTGGTTACTTTGCTGCAGGCCCCGGAGTTTTCATGAAACAGCACCAAGATCGATCGCTCCCTCTCTCCCCTCTTAAGGCTGAAGGCTCAGAAGACAGGGATCTGGTCCCTCCGAACCACATCCAGGTCATCATCCAGGGTTAACAGAACCTGAAAGGAGTGGGCAGAGAAAAAAATGATGCACAGCCACAGCCACAGTAGGTAGTTACTTCCTCTCCGAGACGCATGCAGCCTGAAACTGCAAGGACACTTAACTTGTTTCCCTGTCTCCCACAGCCTTCCACGGTGCGGTGCTCTTAACAGGTACTTATTATAATGACATGCTTCATTTATTAATTAATTCAAATATTTATCAAGGGTGTATTCCAGGTGCCAGAGACATAGCTTGCAATGATTAGAGACAAAAAAAATCTCTGCCCTCCTGGAGCTTACATTTGAGAGAGGGCTTCAGACATGAGGCAAACACGTGAGTAAAATATATGTAGTATCACAGATAGAAATATATGCCAAGTATAGTATGTTAGATGGTAATATGTACTAAGGATAAAAATCAAACTATGGAGAGAGCATGGGAAGTATGGGGTGGGGAGAGTTAAAAAATTTTGAGAGTAGCTGGGGAAGTCATTATTTAGAAGGGACCATTTAGATCAAGACCTAAAGGCAATGAAGTCTAATTGCATAAAGTGGTACTATACCAAAAGTGTACCCTCCTTCTTCATTTTTAGGTCTCTCTACCACTACTCTTTCCACATGGAACCCTTCACTTTTGTTGTCTCTTTCTAATGAAAGTGACTAAAAGATAGAAGCCTTGAGTAAGAATGATTATACAGATTACACTTCTGAAACTAGCCACTAGGGGGTAGCTCTGCTCCACCCTTGAGATTATAAGGCCTGCAGAGCCGGCTTAAAGGGGGCGGTGTTGGGAATCCTGGAGACCTACTCCTGTTATTTGTCAACTGAACCTGTACAGGTACCGTGGCCTTTTAATTTGGAAAGTCAAAATTAATTACGAAACTCAAAATTAATATGAAAGGATGCTGGGAGTTACCTTCCAAGGCCTGGCTTCTGGGCAGGTGTTTGGGTAAAAAATGGAGAAACTCCACGAAAGACCTGGAACTGACTGTTTAGAAGGCGACAGAGGCCTGGATGCTATCCTGAGCTACTCCGGGATGTGTAAATTATTTATAAAATATTCACTGAGACTGAAATGAGAGGAGGAATGTGAGTGTAGCATAAGAAGGAACAACCTAATACTATGGACATTTTGGTGGATGCCAAAGGCGATGCCTGGGGGATTCTGGGCTTGTGAGTTCTTATAACCAATTTAGTTCAAACACTGTGCAGCTTAAGAAAATCATTTTGTCACTCTGTGTCTTAAAATATTGAACCGGAAAGAAAGACAAAAATAAATATTGAACCAAAAGATGCAATGTAAAAGAAGACAATCTGTACGTTGGATTATAATGAGAATTTGGAAAGGAAAAGTAGAGGAATACAATAGAGGGGATGAGAAAAAGGGAGTACAGGATGTAAAGAGAAGAAATGAACAAAAAGGTATTATCAACTCACCAGGAATGAGAAAAACAGGGCAGTGGCAGACAGGAAGTGCCAGATGTCATGGTCATCAAAGAAATCCAGCAGGACACAGTCCCGGTTCTTCTCCCGGGACTCCGCTGGGGTTCTCTGCAGGAAGGTGAGACAGCACATGGCTGAGCATTCCCACAGTTCGGCTGCTTAGAGGGCTGAGCATCCAGAAAGCTACACAAATGCTACCAGATGCCTGGCTCAAAAAGTTAGCTTCCAAGAAAACATGTTCACAAAAAAACTTGTGCGTAAGTGGAAACAACCTAAATGTCCATCAACTGATAAGTGACTAGATAAAATGTGATATGTCCCCACCATGGAATACTATTCAGTCATAAAAAGACATGAAGCCCAGCTCTGGCCGGTTTGGTCCAGAGAGACCTGGGTTCAGTTCACCCTAAGGGCATGTACCTCGGTTGCGGTTTGTCTCTGACCCTGGTTGGGTTGTGCGGGTGGCAGCCACTCGATGTGTCCCTTTCATGTCAATGTTTCTCTCTCTCTCTCTCTTCCTCTCTCTCCCTCCCACTCTATCTGAACAAAAAATGAAAAAGTGCCCTTGGGTGAGGATAAAAAAAGAAAAGACATGAAGCCCTGGTCGGTTTGGCTCAGTGGTTAGAGGATCGGCCCACAGACCAGAGAGTCCCAGTTCAGTTCCTGCTAAGGGCATGTACCTCAGTTGCAGTTTGTCCCCGGCCCTGGTTGGGGTCGTGTGGGTGGTGGCCTGTAGATGTGTCTCTCTCACATCGATGTTTCTCTCTCTCTCTCTTCCCCACTCTCTCCCTCCCGCTCTATCTGAAGATAAATGCAAAAATGTCCTCAGGTGAGGATAAAAAAAAAGACATGAAGTACTGATACATGCTACAACATGGATGAATCTAGGAAACATGCTAAGTGAAGGAAGCCACATAGTATGTGATTTCACTTCTATGAAATGGCCAGAATGGGCAGATCTATAGAGACAAAGATAGATTAGTGGTTGCCTAGGACTAAGGGGTTCAGAAGAAATGGGGAGTTGCTTCCTGAAGTGATAAAAATATTTTAAAATTGTCCTGGCCGGTTTGGCTCAGCGGTTAGAGCGTCGGCCCGCGGACCAGTGAGACCCGGGTTCGGTTCCCGCTGAGGGCGTGTACCTGGGTTGCAGTTTGTCCCCGGCCCGGTTGGGGTCGTTTGGGTGGCAGCTACTCGATGTATCTCTCTCACATTGATGTTTCGCTCTCTCTTCCTCTCTCTCTCCCTCTCGCTCTATCTGAAGATAAATGCAAAAAAAATTATATATATATATATATTTTTTTAAATTGATTGTGGTGATTGTGGAGATGGAGACTTCCCTGTTCTGTGCCTCAGCAATATCATGAATTTCCTAGGCTTCAACTTTCCAATCCATGAAATGGATTTACAAACACATACACCTGTATATTTATTTATGGATGGTGACTGTGATGAAAAAGGTGGAGAAGCTACACTAATCAAGGTTTTTGCACACGTTAAACATTCACGGGGAACGGGATCATAACACAACACATAGATCAAATTTGCAGAGCCTGGAGGGCTTTACACACTTATGAGTGCTACCCTGATAGTGAGGACAACACGACATTTGTTGAGCAGTTGTGTGTGGATATTGAAGTTTTTAGAGGAAGCTTTTGTTTTAGAGAATATCGAACAGATAAATAGCAACTAGCACATGGAGAGAGGGTGGCAGGACGGTCAAAAGGCAGGATGGAGAAAGACCAACACCTTGGGGGAAAAAAAACTGTTCTCTTACCTCCCAGCTGCTGAGATTCTGGAAGAAAAAGTACAGGGCAGTGGCCCACATCACAGCGGTGGCCACAATGCAGAAGAGTGGGATGGGGAGGACCTTCTCAGAGCTGCGAAGCTGCGGGGAGAAGCAGAGGCTGCCAAGCTGCCTGCACCGCCAGCCGAGGCCCGGGGCGCTGCAGCTCCCAGCCTCCTCGCTTACCTTCATGATGATGTAAAAGGCCAAGTAGAGCAGCAGGTTACAGATGAAGATGCCCAGCATGTAGGAAGCAAAGTCCCTGGGTCGGAAGATGAGTCCAAAGAGGGCACTGAGCACAGGGGGAGGAATTATTTTGCATTCATGAAGGTGGATTTGTAACATTGTTGACTTTTTTACTTCCCCACTCCCATTTTTGCAAGGAGGGGGATTAAAAAATAAGCCTCCTTTACATACTATAAGTAACTTTTGATTGATTTCCTTCAGAACATTCATTTTTAATGATTGTAAGGTTCCCATAAGTGGATGCACCATAAAGAATCATATTTCCTTTCTAGTTGAAAGGAAGAGTTTTCCCTTTGCCCTTCAGTCTTGCACTATTATAAAGAACACCACCGTGAATAAATGAATACCTTCAGACATACTGTACTTTGTTTTTGCACTGAAGATTAATTCATTACACTAGATTATTAGAAGTAGAATTATCTCAGTAATCAGCTTGACACACATTATCAGTTTTGGCTAGCTATTTATGGTTTTAAAATTAATACTCAAATTTATTACCCTGTCTCCCAGAGTCACCAGGTCTGTGGGGTCTGCCCTAAAAGGGTGATCCAAAAAAGCACCTCAGGTGACCACTGCTGGGAATTGTCCTTCTCGATGTGCCCCATGTAAAGCAGGGGTCCTTCACAGGTATGAATCTTATCTGAGGTCATCCCTGGGTGACACTATAGGGAGTTTCTTCCAGAAGCTTGTGGTGCCCCAATAAGATTCAAATGATCCTGAGTAGATCCTGGCTCCCCCTGAAGGCAGGCCTCTTTCTTCATTCCTCTTATGTCTTAAAGGGCAGCAGAAACAGGGTCATCTTTCTATCAAAGGTCACTGACCCAGAGGAGCACATCAGCTAAGAACCGCTAGTAAAAGCAGCTAAACTCACTTATTTTTGAGGGATTAATAAAATATCCCACTCATTCACATATATTTTTATCCTCACCCGACTTTTTTACTTTCCCACTCCCATTTTTACAAGGAGGGGGATTTTTATTGATTTTAGAGGAGAAGAAAGGGAGAGAGAGAGAGAGAGAGAGAGAGAGAGAGAGAGAGCGCAACATCAATGTGAGAAATAAACATGGATTGGTTGCCTCCCATATGAGCCCCACCCAGGAATCAAACCTACAACTGGGTATATGCCCTGACTGGGAACCGAATGCACAGCCTTTTTGGTGTACAAGATGATTCCCCAACCAACTGAGCCACCAGGCCAGGGCTCGTTCACATTAAAAAAAAATTTTTTGTTTTAATCCTCACCCAAGAATGTTCTTCTATTTATCTTCAGACAGAGTGGGAAGGAGAGAGAGAGGGAGAGAAGGAGAGAAAGGGAGAGAGAGAAACATTCATGTGAGAGGGACACATCAACTGGTTGCCTCCTGCATGACCTTGATCAGGGCTGGGGATGAACTGCAACCAAGGTACGTGTCCTCGGCTAGAACCAAACCCGCGACTCATTGGTCCACAGGCCAACACTCTATCACTGAGCCAAACCAGCCAGGGCCACATTTTTAAGTTCAGAAAAGGTTGCATAAAATAGTTACAGCTAGCAAAATATATGTCTGTTGTACTGTTCTATTTTGAGGCCATTTGAGGGGAAAAAAGCCAAGGTGATAATGAGGGAAAAAGAGGAAAAATGATATAGGTGGAGTAGGAAGAATAAGACCTAGAGGGAAAATGAAATAAATAGAAAAGAGACTTATACACACACACACACACACACACACTAAGACAAATGCCTCTTGGGTAGCCTTTATGGAAAGTTCTACCAAAAAATTTAAAGCTATGCTGCATTTTTGAAACTACAGGCATAATATCCATCTATTATCTATCTATCTATCTATCTATCTATCTATCTATCTATCTATCTATCTATCTATCTATCTATCTATCTACCAATTTGATGTTTGTCTTGTTGAGCAAATGAACTCAATGCATTGAACTCAACACTTTAAGAGGGGCCACTAGTTGGTACACACGAGTTTCCTAGTGCATTCTTTGCAGGAGAGAAAATACCTTTCTCTCAAGTCTCTAGGGCAAGCTCGATCCTGTGCACTCCTTAATTTCAGATTTCTTTATAAAAATGACCGCCAAGAAAAGCTAAACCACAGTGTTACAGTCATTAACAAAGAGGGGGAAAATGTTATCTTAAGATTACTTACAAGGACCAGTTGACCAGATTCCCCACAATGAGCAGCACCATTCTGTCCTGAAAAGGAGGAAAGAGAACATTGAAAAACCCTCAGCCTCATTTCCCTCAATTTTTAGTACCTACAGGTCCCGTCCAAGCCCTAGTGGGCTAAGAGGTTCCCACACTCCTTTCTGTAAAACTCCTGACTATAAACTACTAGCAGGTGCTTAGTGAACTGTGTGCCGGGCTCAAATAGCATCTCTTGTTCTGACCACAGCTCTGATAAAGGCTGGCGCAGTGGCTCAGAGGGGGTTTGTAGCTTTTCCAAGGTCACTGGCCAGTGAGCCGAGACATAGCTATGACCAGGGCCCTGGTTCCTCTGTTCAGTGTAGAAATGTACACTATACCAAAAACTGTAATGAAGAATTTTTAATAGTTGTATTTCAACCATTAAGCAATAACCACAGTTTTGAAAAAATATCCCTGCTCATTATAAAAAACAATGTATAAAAATCAAACAAATATATAATGTGGACAGTGTAAGTTCCTAGCGAAAGTGACTGGAGTGGTCATCGGTCCCAGTGTGCTGGGGACAGTCAGGTTTATGCCTGCGGACCTGGCGCAGTTATTAACAGTGGCCCCTTCCACTCACACAAATGAAACAGTCTTACCTCTTTGGGTGATTATTTACAGGCACACTTCCCACAGCAACAGTCGCTGTTTAATAGGTTTACACACACACACACACACACGCACGCACACACGCACACATTTTTTTCTTTCTATACTAGCAATATTTCATGTACAAAAATGAGACCGTCCCAGCTTGTTTTTTATGAACAAGAAGACTAAGCATCATGCTTCTTCCCCCTGACTGGACCTCAGCCACCCTGGGCCATCTGGCCCTCTGGATTTGGGAAAACTGAGTGACTACTCTGAGCCTGCCCCTCCTGCTGTTCCCCGACTCCCTGGGAGAAGGCCAGGAATGTGGGAGCAACACATACCATATACAGAGGCCGGCTGCACTGATGGATGAAGTCCGTGTAGAGCACCATAGCAGCCCTCCGGAAAATCCCCAAATCTGCCGATGACACAGTAAGTAGGCTTAGTTAGAGATAATACAAAATACTCCCTTATGGCCCAAGTTTTAGGGGCCAAGAGGATGTTTTCACCTCATAAAAATGGTGCTTTGCACCTAACAGGTGCACAGTAAATGTTTGCTTTAAAAACCTGCACCCTCACCACCTGCGTTTTCATGGAGAGGGCGCCAGATTCCCAGGTCATACTGCAGAAAGGCGAGAAGGGACATGGGTGGCTGGCCAGCCCTTCTATGGTCTCCTTCAGCTAAGTTTCCCTTTGTTTATAATTTACTCCAGTGGTGTTTCCTTTATATCAGAGAGGTTATGGGGCCCTTCAAGCCTACCTTATAACATCTGCTCTCTCTAGAGGATGGGAAATCTTAGCTCGTAAAAGTTCTAATCTGCGTTTCTCATTGTGGTTATAAGTCAGTAAGAATTGAACCAAGGGATACTGGGGTTTACTGAACACATTTAGAAAGACTAAAACTGTACTGAAACAATAATCAAAGGAATTTAGTTAAGATGCAGAAAAAAAAGACAGGAAAGATTAAAAAAAATGCAATCCTTCAGAAGGATGAGAAGCACAGTGAGGTGCATGTTATAATTGTTAAGGAAGAGTCGGGATCACAGGTGGGCTGTCTTTCTCTGAGCCATCCACGCTGTAGACATCACACACAGGCTGGGCAAGCATTCGGTGGGGGTGGACCCCAGTTCTGTTGTGAATACTGTTCCTGGGGTCAATTTAACCAGCCTTCGCTAGACTCTTCAATACACAGAAGGAAGGAGGCCTGGGGCATGTTCGTGCAATAGCCCAGAAGAGGGTGCAGGCTGGGTTGGAGTGATCCCTGCCCCGACCCACTCTCTGGCTCCCCCTCCCACCATCCTGCCCAACCTGGAAGGAGTTGTTCAGATAGCAGAGCTGGTAGGACAACCAGGAGGGTTGCTTTATGAAGAAAACAGTCTAGAACCCTGCGAAAGGCCGCTGAACATTACCTGCGTCAGACACATCTGAATCAGTGGAAAGCAGAGAAGAAAGGAGGAAAAAAAAAAAGATTTATAAGAAAATAGCCAAACAGGTAAACTACTGGTCATTTTATTTTTCTCTCTAAATGGATCACTTGAAAGTTCCCAATTATAAAAGTAATGTTTGCTCGTCATAAAGAACAGCATTTCCCTGCCTGTCTCAAACATTCAGAAGTTTACTATTCCTCAAGCGGGGAATCAGCTTCTCTTTCTGTCTCCTTGTTTGCACTTCTTATGATTTATACTCCATCCTCTCTGATGAGCACGCCCCGTGGTCCTGTCTGGGGCTCCGGCTGCACCGTGGTGATCTGGGCAAGCAGGTCTACGGTTTCCCGTCCCATTTACGAAATGCTCTGCCCCACTGCTGTTGCCTTTCCTGGGTCCATGTTTATTTCCTCGTGTGGCCTCCGGGCCACAAAGGAGCATGTGACATGAGAAAGCTTATGGAATGGGCAAAGACGTACCTGAACCATTCTGTCCACTAACTCAACTTCCTGCCTCTGAACCAAATCTAGATGCCATCGTTGTCACAACGAAATAGAGAGTTTTCCTTTGACTCTAGTAAAGCTCTAACCCCTTGGGGAAGACTCCGGGTAAGGAAATATTCATTTAAGCTAGACACTGGCCATCTTCCACCTGCCCTTTCAGACAGACCTACATGCCATGTATGTCTCTGTGTCCTGCACCGCGCCTGGGAGGCTGACAGTGTGGGCCCCAGTGGCTTTCCTGGCTCTCCGTGGATCTGGACAGTGGGAACCCAGGCAGGAGACTGGAGCGACAGAGGACGGGGAGTGAGCTCACGGTGCTTACCTTCCCGGCGCTCCCTGTGTCTGTCACCTGGGGTCACTGCTCTTTTCAGAGTGGCTGCCTTCCACAGTTCTTTTTCCACCTTTTGGTAACCGTTTCCTGCCTGTCCTTTTGGGCTTATAAATAGTAAAAGCTTCTGAGCTCCTCACCCAGGGTTACCGTGTTATCCCTTTCACTCTCTCTATCCTGCCCCTGTCTTCTGAATAGTCCCTTGGTGACTACATCCTCTTCCATCTTTGTGTGGCAGCTTTTTCTTCTGTTGAGACCCTGAACAGGTATATTGCAGGTCATAATGCGTCCACTTTCTCCTTTTTAAAAAGGTAACCTAATTCAGCAATGCAAAATCGTAAGGGGTAAAGGTGGTATACATATATTCAAAGCTCCTCTACCTATTAATGGTCACCATTACATGCAGGAGTCCCCCCTTATTCGTGGATTTGCTTTCCACAATTTCAGTTATCTGTGCTCAACCAGGGTCTGAAAATATTAAATAGAAAATTCCAGAAGTAAACAGTTCATCTGTTTGTTTATTTTTTTAATCCTCACCCAAGGACATTTTTTTTTTTTTTTTTTGCATTTATCTTCAGATAGAGCAGGAGGGGGAGAGGGAGGAAGAGAGAGAGAGAGAAACATCCACGTGAGAGAAACACATGGAGTGGTTGTCACCCACACAACCCCAACCAGGGCCGGGGACAAACTGCAACCGAGGTACGTGCCCTTAGCGGGAACCGAACCCGGGACTCACTGGTCCACGGACTGACGCTCTAACCGCGGAGCCAAACTGGCCAGGGCGACAGTTCATCCGTTTTAAATTTCGCACTATTCTGAGCAGCGTGGTGAAATCTCGTGAGTCCCACGCATTGCCTGGGACGTGACTCATCCCTTTGCCAGCGTCACCCGCCCTTGGACACTTAGGAGCCATCTTGGTTATCTGATCCACTGCCTGGTGTTCTTGCTGTTGGTGTTTCAAGGACCCTTATTTTACTTAATAAAGGCCCCAGAGCACAAGAATATTGATGCTGGCAATTCAGATGTGCCAGAGAAGTTGCAAGGTGCTTTCTGGAAGTGAAAAGGTGAGTACAGCACAAGAGGATATTTTGAGAGAGTGACCACATTCACATAACTTTGATTACAGTAATTGTTATCATTGCTCTCTTTTATTATTAGTTATTGTTGTTGATCTCTTACCGTGCCTAATTTGTAAATTAAACTTTATCATAGGTATGTATGTGTAGGAAAAAACAATACATGTATACATAGGGCTTGGCACTACACACAGGTTCAGGCATCCACTCGTGACTTGGAATACTTTCCCTGTGAATAAGGGGTTGGGGGACAACTGTATCTGCATTCAATTTTATTTTTTTAACTCTGGGAGGATCCAGAAAAACAGAGCTTCAATTTATTTTCCTTTTGAAGTTGACTTTGTAAACTCACCTTTGAGTCTAGGGGATGGGAAGTGACCAGTGCACCAAACCCAATGTTCTACTCAACCAGCTGATGATGCGTCCATGGGGGAGGGGGCGCTGGGGGCCCACTGGCTATGTAGTGCCAAGGACAAATTTACTGACCATGCGAAAAGGGAGGCCTAAACTGCCAAAATAAGAAAATGTTTTCTTTTTGGTCTTCTACTCTTAAATAAGCCACTAGTTTATGTAGAATCAATTTTAGACATGGCAAGAGGGGTCTCGTAGTCTAGAGGCCCTCATTCCCCACTGCGTGAGGAGTCTGCAGGGCAAGGGGACTACTCCTTCTCCTTCTAGACCACATTCTGAATTCCTGGACCCCAGCATTCCCCCGCAGATGGCCTCGAGCCTGCTCTTAGAGTCTGCATAGCCCCCTTCCCTAGCCTGTCTTCCTGAGGGCGGAGGGCACTATTAGAGAATGTACTTGCAGGGGCAAGGAGTGGCCTTTTGGATGTTGAACAAGGGTATCCATATGAATACCTGTGAGACCCCTCGAGATGCAGGACAGAGACAGAGGTGGGAAGGAAAGAGAGACAGGGCTGGGGACCAGCGCTCCTGGAGAGATATATTCTAAGGAACCGAATATTCTATATTTGAACCTGGACCATCTAGGTTATAACAAAGGCATATTCTATTTATCAGGTTGTTGGTCTTCCTTTCTGTGTTCCTTCCTTTCATGTATTTAATAGTTTTTTAGTCTGCTTTACCACTTGAAAATGTTCATGCCTATGGTATGTGAGCTTTTATTTGCAGTCTTGCCTTGGGCTCTGCAAATATTAGGAGTGAACTTATGTTTATATATAATGTTTTTTCTTGACATAGACAAAAGAATATTTGAGTCTGACTTCATGGAACTTAAAATGACTGGTGAAATTTAAATGCTCTAAGAGGACTTGAACCTGCTCCCTTGTGTGATGACTGACCAACAGCAGATCAGAAGCTGCTTTCTGTAGAACGCTCAGTGTTCTAATGTTCACATTGTCAGAGGGAGTCCAGGACGTGTCCTGCCTCTAAGATCGGCAAGTTGGTCTCAAAAAGTTCCAGTCCCAGAATTTGAAAATAATATATAATTCATTCTTGATAACCATTTATCACGGTTAAAGAAATGCTCCCTTGCCCTGGCCGGGTGTCTCAGTTGCTTGGAGCATCATCCCGTACACCAAAAGGCTGCAGGTTCGATCCTTGGTCAGGGCGCGTAAGCGAAGCAACCAATTAATGTTTCTCTCTCATATCAATGTTTCTCTATCTCTCTAAAATAAATACAAGTACATCCTTGGGTGAAGATTTAAAAAAAGAAGAGCCCTGGCTGGTTTGGCTCAGCGACTGGAACGTCGGCCTGCGGTCCAGAGAGACCCGGGTTCAGTTCCCGCTAAGGGCATGTACCTTGGTTACAGTTTGTCCCCGGCCCTGGTTGGGGTTGTGTGGGTGGCAACCACTCAATGCGTCCCTTTCACATCGATGTTTCTCTCTCTCCCTCCCACTCTATCTGAACAAAAAATGGAAAAAATGTCCTCCCGTGAGGATAAAAAAAAAAGAAGAAGAAAGAAATGCTCCTTTTATTTTTTTTATTGATTTTAGGGGGAGAGAGAGAGAGAGAGAGAGAGAGAGAGAGAGAGAGAGAGAGAAACATTGATGAGAGAGAACATTGATTGGCTGCTTCCTGCATGCCCCCCACTGGGGATTTGGCCCACAACCTAGGCATGTGCCCTGACTGGGAATTGAACTGGCAACCTCTTGGTGCATGGGTCGATGCTCAACCACTGAGCCACACCGGCCAGGCAAGAAATGCTCCTTTTAATTGCTACAAACTGAAAAATATCCCCTAGGTAGAACTGGTGGTACGGTAATCTTACTGTTCTGCAAATGCACTTTCAAAGTTTGGTGGGTTGCAGAGCCTTTGGGCCCTGGAGCTGGAGGTATGCCTCAGCTCTCGGGTATGGCCCGCTTAGCTTCTACGGTGACTGGAACTAGTAGTGATGATAGTTTATTGCCACCCAGTAAAGGAGAGGAAGTTTTGAAGAGAATATATACTAAAGTACAACACAGAATTCAGATCATGTATCCACGATGACCAGTCACACTTCCGCTCAGGATCAGTGAAAACAATGCTTTCTCAGTGTGTTTAGTTTAGAATAAAAGGCGACTCACCTATCTTGAAACGGCCCATGTAGTAGATCTGGGTGCTGAGGGCGAGAGAGGCCAGTATATGGATCACAGAGAAGATGACCCAGAACCACACGTCATTTTTTCCAAACACCTAGGAGTAAAGATGGACGTTACCTTCCTCGAGGGTTTTCCCTTTCTAAAATCTGCTCTCTCTCTCATATCTTCTAAAGGACTAAAAAGCCGAGCTGTGCATGCCCTTCCCTCTCCGACCTCACAGGGGTCCTACACCCAGGACAGGAAAAAGAATAGCTACCTGGCCAAATAACAATGGAAAAGGGAAGAAACGGGTGAGGCAATGGTGAAGGAATAACAGGTGTACAGCTGGGGGCTACTGCTCTTGGGGTAACAGCAGACAGCGAACACCTGCGCGTGCACATTTAGAAAGCAGTTTCACTCCGGTCTTGTATGTTCCTGTTTCCGTCTCACATGACTCAAGCCCCAGCTTTATAGTGAAACTCTTCAGGGGTAGTTTTACAGGTGCCAATTACATTATAAAAATAACTAGCCAAACAACTAAATAAAATGCCATGAACAAATCAACGATGAGAGTGTCATGAACCAAGAATTATGATTAATTCAATTCTGTTCACCTGAGCTCCAACAAAAAACAAACAAACAAACAAACAAACAAACAAACAAACAACAAAGAACCTCTCTAGAGGGCCCTTTCTGAAAGGGAGGCTGGAGTCTGAGGGGAGGGACGCACCACTCCGAGGACCGTGAGTGAGATGACCAAGGCGAAGGAGGCGTAGGCAGCGTAGGCGCTGGCGTTGATGTCTGGGTGGCGGGTCTGATAGAGCTTCAGCATGCAGAGGCCGGCGATCATGTACATGAAGGAGGTGTCTGAGGGCACAGAGGAGGAGCCAAGACATCAGGACCCAGTAGGCAACAGACAGATTTCTCCTCTGCCCAGGACACCCCCCTCCCTTCAGGCCCTGGGGAATTTGTTGCCTCAGACTATGTGGAGACCTCCAACATGCCTGCCTCCCAGGCACATCCTCTAGGCAGACCCTACATACTCCACTTCTGAATCCCTCCAAAGCTGTTCCTAGTTCACAGAAGAAAAGTATCTGATGATATGCTAAATAACTGACTATTCCCACTGGCAGAGGTATTTGTGTTTAAATGTTGGTGTTCAACAACAATAACAAAAAAAGCCCTAATAGTGACATTTAAGGCACTGTGACAATAAAATAAATCCTAGGTGGATGTAGGAGGTCCTTCTCAGCATCCTGAAATATTACCACAATGATCACTGCTCCTGTACAGCTTTATAGCCCAGGGATGGAAAACGGCTGGAAGTTAAATGTGGCTTAGCTTCATGAGTTATGGGAATGCAACTTAAAACAACAATGCAATATTCCGTGTTACTCAAAAATCTAACAAAGAATGTAAATGTCTGACAATAACACACGCTAGTGATGACGTGGGGACATGGGAATTCTCACACAGCCAGCAGAAGTGGGAATTAATGTTCTGGAGAGAAACTTGTCAGTTTTTGGTAAAATGGATGATGCATGTCTTCCATTGCAGGTGACCCCAAAATTCTTCTCCTAGGTACCCCAGAGAACCTCTCTCATATGTACACAGAGCTGTACACAAGGATGTTCAGTGCAGCCTTGTCTGCAACAGTAAGATACTGGTAACAGCAGAAGGTTGTTCAAGAGAGGAACTGATAAATGTGGTATATTTTTAGTACAGAATATGACCATCCTTAAAAATGAATGAACTAGCTGTCCTTGATACAATATTGATGAATCTGAAAATATATTGTTGGATGAAAAAAGAAGGTTGTGAACACAGTGTGGTAAATTAATGTCAATTTACTATAAATGTAGTAAAACTATAAAAACAAACTGAAAGAATAAATACCAAATTAATCATAGTTGTTGCCTCTGAGGAAGAAAAGAGGGGATAAATTTGGAAAGCAGTTCAAAAAAGGACTTCCACGTAACACAATATTTTATTTCTTAAGTATATTTAAGGCAAATATGTTTAAATATCAGCGTTCATTCATTCTGAGTGGTGAATGATATTGTTCTCTCTCATTTTCCCTATTTAAAATTCTTTCTTTAAAAATGTTTTTTCTTTATTGATTTTAGAGAGAGAGAAACGGAGAGGGAGAGAGAGGTAGAAACATCTATGAGAGAGAAGAACATCAATTAGCTGCCTCCTGCATGCCCCCCACTAGGGATTTGGCCCACAACCTGGGCATGTACCCTGACCAGGAATCGAACTGGCAACCTCTTAGTTCCTGGGTCAACGCTCAACCACAGAGCCACACTGGCTGGGCGATGCTTTCTAATTTAAAAAATTAAAATGGCCCTGGCCAGTTTGGCTCAGTGGTTGAGCGTCGGCCTGCGGACCAGAGTCCCGGGTTCAGTTCCTGCTAGGGGCACATACCACAAAAAAAAAAAAAAAAAAATTAAAATGTGACAGAGAATTTCTGTGGTGTTCTAAGTTAGCCAAAGGCTAGAGCACAAACCTAAAAGTGACTGTTTAAAAAATCCTTATTCCTTGGCCACCATCAACAAATCATCAAACAACAAGTGTTAGCGAGGTTGTGGAGAAAAGGGGACTCTAGTACGCTGCTGGTGGGAATGCAGACTGGTGCAGCCACTATGGAAAACAATATGGTGTTACCTCAAGAAATTAAAAATTGAATTTCCATTTGACCCAGTGATCCCACTTCTAGGAATATACCCTAAGAAGCCTGAAACACCAATTAGAAAGAATATATGTAACCCCATGTTCGTAGCAGCACTATTTACAATAGCTAAGATTTGGAAACAGCCCAAATGTCCATCAGTAGGCGAATGGATAAAAAAGTAGTGGTACATATACACAATGGAGTACTATGCAGCTGTAAGAAAGAAAGATCTCTTATCCTTTGAGATGACATGGAGGGACCTGGAAAGTATTATCCTAACCAAAACAAGCCAAACAGAGAAAGACAAGTATATGATCTCACTTATTTGTGGAATATAATGAACATAACAGTCTGAGGAATGGTGTAGTCCCAGAGACATGGAAGTGGGGTACAGACTGACAATCCTCAAAAGAGGGGGTGGGGGGGGAGAGATAAACCACAGAACTTTCATGCATGTATGCATGAACAATGGACATGGACAAAAAAGCTGGGAACAGGGCGGGAGGGAGAGGGAGGGGGAATCAGTGGGGGGGAAAGGAGAAACATCTGTAACAAAAATAAATTAATTAATTAATAAAAATGAAAAATCCTTATTCTTTTCTTGGCTGGTTTGGCTCAGTGGTTAAAGCATTGGCCCACGGACCAGGGAGTCCTGGGTTCAATTCCCGTTAAGGGCCCGTACCTTGGTTGCAGTTTGTCCCTGGCCCCAGAACTGGGGCCGTATGGGTGGCAACTACTCGATGTGTCTCTCTCATACTGATGTTTCTCTCTCTCCCCCTTTCTCTCCCTCCCGCTCTATCAAGATAAATGCAAAAAAAAAAGTCCTCCGGTGAGGATAAAAAAAAAATTTCCTTATTCTTGAGTGTGGACATTATTAATTGCCTACTACCAGCATCAGCTTTTCCCTCCTCCTTCCTGACAGCGTCTCAGTCCTAACTCAAATTTCTCAGCCCCGTTTTCAGTTCAGAAATGCATACCCTTCCAGCCAATTTGCTTCAGAAAGGCTGACCCCACCCAGGTTCCAGGGAGGGATTCCAGTGATCTAAAGGCCATCCCACCTCCTTCGTCACTGTGACTGGTGTCGCAACCCAGGCCTGAGCTAACTTGCACACAGAGAATGATTCTGGAATGGGCTCATGACTGTTTAAGCTTTTGAGGTGTGAGGGTACGTTATCTGGGGGAGTTGCTCTTAAGTGAAGGCTCCTGAAGCCAGCTGGCTGTGTCCTCCAGACGTCGTGGAGTGGAGACAGGAAGCCAGAACCTGCTGTGCCTGTATCTGCCACTGTGAGCTCCCTGACAGACTGAGGACAAAAGCAACATGTGAGACAGTGTCAGAGCCACTAACCCTTCCCACCTCTGGAGTTTCAGATGGTGAGCCAGATAAATGTCCTTATTATTGTTTTTTAAATATGTTTTTATTGATTTTAGAGAGAGAGGAAGGGAGAAAGAGATAGAAACATCAATGTGAGAGAGAAACATCTATTGGCTTCCTCCTGCACACCCCCTACTGGGTATCAAGCCCACAACCTGGGCATATGCCCTGACCAGGAATCAAACTGGGACCTCTCAGTCCATGGGGCGATGCTCAATCCACTGAGCCACACCAGCCGGGCAACATCCTTATTACTTAATTCAATTTGAATTGGTTTTTCTATCACATTTACCCCAAAGCAGTCTAACTGCTAAATTAGGTCAAGTTACACTGAAGGAACTTTCTAGATACTTATTGGTGAGTTCTACCCAACTTGCTGCCTGATGCTAGCCCATGGTCCACCTGCAGATCTGGCCATGAGATCAACATTCAGAGTTGAGAGTTTTTTAATCTAAAAGGTAGTCAGAGAGACAAAAAAATGGTACAATATTTGGAAGCCATGCCGTGTGGTGAGGTGTCCTCAGATCCACTGTAGCTCATGTAAAATGTCATTTAATTTTTGCAACTATGACCATGGCATTTTTGGGAGGGTCCCAGGATAAGACTCCTATAACTCAAATCTGTGTAGTTGATATAAAGTCTAATTACCAAACTGGAAGTTGGAGTAATTAGGGCAGATGTGGTAACAAGCACTGAGCACTCCTTCCATCATCAATGCGATGCCCATAGCATAGAAGAGACCAAAGTGTTTGGGAATCCCATACTCCTGAAAAAGGAGACAGTGTGGTCAATAGAAAGATACCAGTGAGTGACATAGCCACAGAATCCGGAAGCCCAAGCTTCTGGCCTCAAGCATCATAATCCACCATCACCATCAAGCCAGATGTCCTTCCCCTTTGTAGATCCCATTTGAAATCATAACCCTTCTTAGCTCCCACCTCCGATTTGCCTGCCCTTTCCTCACCATGGCAAAGATGTCCTTGGCTTCCAGGGCTCTTCGATGGAGAATGTCTCGGCGCAAGACTATCAACAGGAAGAGGAAGCCCAGGAGCACGTGCCCCAGGTTACTGAGAATGTTGTTGAAGGCGCTGAAAGGATGAGAGAGAAACCATGGGAGAGCCAGGCAACCAGAGACTTAGAGAATGAATGCATGGATTAGCAAGGGAACTCGGCATGTGTGTTTTCTACCGCTAACCCTTTCATAAGATTCCAGGACTGGAAAATCATCAGAGATCACCTTTAACCTTTCATTTTAGGATGCTTAGCCAGGAAAATGTGCTGTTTTCTCTCAGGGGTGCCCACTACGCTTCCCTAACACCCTCCCAATCCTGTCTGGTCCCAGTGGCACTGGCATGGAATGAAGCCCGGGAAAGAGAGAAGCTCTAAAGATGGGTCATTTGGCCAAGAGTTTCAGCTACACTGTGAGAGGGAATTCTCATAGAGGGACCCACCTTATGTGTCAACACTCAGCTCTGCAGGTGTAAGTTTCAGGATAAGTGTCAGTTGGTCACAACCAGTGACTTTAATTAGAAAACTGAGGCTAGTTCAGCTCTAGAACAAGAAACCAGGCTCCCAACTTCCAGGCTAATGCTCTGTCCACTTCTGGTGGCTACAGCATGGTCTTGGAGGCAGCAGGTGTGGGTTCAAGTTTCTACATCACTAACAGCTGAGGGACCTTCAGCAAGTTCTTACCTTTCTAAGCCTTAGCATCGTCATCTAAAAAAGGAGGATGATGACAATAATACTATCTTTCTCATGAGGTTGTTTAATGGATTGAATGTACTAGCAGTTCATGCCCTTGGATGAGTATCATCACAATAAGGGACCTGATGTTTTTAAAAATATCCCTGCCCTCGCCTCAGCAGATTATTCTTAGGAATAGTTCCTGAACCCTCATACTGGAATGAGAGAAGCATACCTGGTCTCAACTTCCTGATTTCATTTCTCTTTATCCAAGACTGGGGCAATTTTCCACAGATGTTTTTAGTATTTTTAAAAACTGAGATCACAACACTACATAGAAAGGCATTCCTAAAAGCCTCATGGGCAACCAGCGGACTGGGCTTACCTCAGGACGCCCAAGGGGTGAGCACAGAGGAAATTGTAGTAACAGATGTCCTGGTTTCCAGTGACATGTACCACCTACAAAATCAAGAGCGAGAAGATTTGCAGTTTCCCTTGGTCCTCTGAGTTAAGCCTGAAATTACACAAACAGCACTGCTCACAGCAAAACACTGTCAGTGACTTACAGTGTACCAGCCCTCCTCTCCGGGCTGCGCCATCACGGGCCACTTTTACCCAGCACAGGCTCACGTCCTTTGAATGCTACCATCTTGCTTTGAGTTGAAATATGGTCTTCCTCATTATATGGCCTCGAGGTGGAATTCAACTAAGTACATTTCCTTTGTTCTTATGATTAAAGGAGTATCAAAGGATGCTAACATTGGGACATGCCTATTAGGGCTGCCATGCTATGTCCTATTTTCTAGATGAATGCTGGGAGGATAAGAAGCTGTCCCACCCTCTGTGAAAATAACCATGCTGCAGGTAGACATGAGGACATGGATGTTCAGTTTTCCATATTTATCACCATCTCTATCATTAAGAAACTTCCTAGACCACAGCACATCTATGTCTTCTGACAGGGTCCCAAAGTATTCAGAGAATATTTAGATGATAAACTGTGGTATTCAAACTTTATAAAGCCCTTGTCCTCATCATGTAGTAAGCACACACTTGGCTGAATGTTATTAGACTATTGGCTCTCAAAGTTGGCTGTACACTGGAATCACTGGGAGTTTAATCAATACTGGTGCCAGTTCCACTCTAAGAGACTCTGATCTAATTGCTGTGGGTACAGCTTGAACACCAGGATTTTTAAGTTCCCCAAATGCTTTTAATGCACAATGAAGTTTGGGAGCCATTGCATTAGAAACACCTTCAGCCTTGTGTTACTCTAAATGGGTTTGCTCTTGTAGAATACATCCTAGAGAAGGCCACTGAAGTGACCTGGACCCTTGGGTTCCATGAAGGGGTGGTAGGGAGTCTCAAGGTGTTTTACTTATTATTTTTGTTTATTTGGTTTTTATTTTAGTTTTCTTTTGATTTACTATTATATTCGTTTTATAAAGCTGTTTTTATTCTTACAAAAAAGTATCTCCTTAGTGAGACGGCACAGGCTAAATGGAGATATCAGGTTTCTTTGTTTTGGTCTGGAACTTCAGTTACTCTACTTACTATCCCATGGTGGTCAAAGTTCAGACTGCTAAATCATATACACAATTGATTGATATTATGATTGAATGAGTGCAAGGAAATAATTTCAGATTGGTACACAAAATAATAAAAGTGGTCCCATGTCCCTCTGTGATAAAACAATTGGGAAGTAGAGTTAAAGGTAAGTCAAAGATGAAGCATTGGAGAAGTCCAATTAGAATCCAAATGGGAAATTAATTTTTGAACTGATCCCAAGTTCCCTTTCTCTGTACATCACAGCAAAGCTCTCTCCCTGTATATGAAAGCTTGGGTTCTGGGGTTCAGGGTGGCACTTACTGTCTGGTAGGTGATGACCAGCTGGATCACAGGTAGTGCATAGAACACAGCAATAGTGATGATATTCCTATGCAGGCAGAAAGAACCGGAAATAGCTATTTCCAAATTAACAATGGAATCTTTGTTCGATTTTTAAAAATCTTTATTGTTGAAAGTATTACAGATGTCCCCCTTTTCCCCCTGTTAACCCCCTCCTCCCCTCTCCCACCCCCTTCCTGCCTTCTCCACACTATTGTCTGTGTCCATTGGTTATGCATATATGTTCTTTGGTTTATCTCTTCCCACCCCACCCCATCCCTCTTCCCTCTGAGGTTTGTCAGTCTGTTCCCTACTTCCTTGTCTCTGGATCTGTTTTGATTGTCAGCTTATTTTGTTCATTATATTCTATAAGTAAGTGAGATCATGTGGTACTTGTCTTTCTCTGACTGGCTTATTTTGCTTAGCATAATACTCTCCAGATTTTTTTTTAAAAAGAATGTTTTCACCCCTAACTCCCTAGTCAACTCACAAAAGCAATTAGAAACTGATAATGTGGTTCTTGTTGCTCCAGTCATTTGTAAAATAGTGTAATCATACTTGCTTCTGATTTAACCAAATTACTAATGAGAACCTATCTCTTAAGGATGTTGTTAGAGAAAAGAGGTCAGATAAGTCATGGGAGATGGCATCACACAAAGGGATGTGGCTCTCTTAGATTCTTCTTAGTTCCAAAGTGAAGGTCCCACTATGAAATTCTGCAAGCCTCCCCTCCCCCCAGGGAGGTTGTATCTGCGTGTTTGAGCATCGAGCATCGCAGATCTACTTATCATTGGCTGGTACTATTATCTCCTCCCAGGGTCTTCTCCAGCTACTCTGAGATGCTCTAAGACATCTAGTCCCTGAAATCTTTGGTTCTTCTAAGAGCAAAGCCTGGTGAGGATAAGAGGAAATGGATGCAGCTTAGCGTGACTCATGCAAAGTGGTGATATTAATGCTACTGTTACATTAGCCTTCCGGAAGAGGAATTAGTGTGCTCCCCTACACATATGGAGTCTACTACCATTCTTATTTTTCCATAGTATTTATGTAAGTTAGGGCTGGTTGCCTTTTTGTAGTTTACTTTTGTTTTTCCTGTGGAATGTGGCATGGATCCTTGAAAACATATGCGTGTGCCTCATTAAACACTAAAACCTGTGATACAAGTGACTCTACCTTATACAAAGAAAACTTAAATTTTAATAAAGATAACTATGGCCCACTTGGTTGTCTACTCACCAAAAATAAATCTTATACTTTTTGCTGATGATTCTCCGGTCCTTCCTGGACAGATCGGACAGGTAAAGAAACATCTGGGAAGCCAAATAAAAAGAGAATATGAAATTGTACTTGCTTTTTTTGCACAAGATACAAAGGAGAGCTTTACAAATTTCAGTTTAGTCCCTCACTAGAGACTTAAAAATTATGTAACAAGATTTTTCTTTTAATTTTGCGTATCCCAGAGTACCTTAATAAAAATCCCATTCTTTCTCTTGGAATGTTAAGGATTGGTTAATGTAGGGAAACTATTGGGAGTCAAATGCTTCTTGTATCTCAAGAACTGATTTCCCAGTTTTCAGAGATGTCCACACTGTGGTTCTTGAATGGCAGGATTGAAACTGTACAATTCACCTTCATAATCCCTTTCTGGATACAACACAATGTAACAGATATATACCAGAAAGAAACAAGCCTTATTCCTGAAGGATGACATGTACAGAATCAGAAAGGTTTTCCAGCTACACCCCTCAATAAATCTGTTCTTCCATCTGGTTGGATCCCTTCCTCCTTTATTGTCCACAAGCTGTTGCTTCAGACCCTGAGGGTATTTTAATGCTCTATTCTTTTTAATGCTCTCATTTTCTTCCTCCAGAAAGAAGTGCTAATTAGAGTATTGCTTTTAGTCTACAGTTATATTTTATCTAAAAATGCCCTCTGGGAAATTAGACTTCTCCTGAAGGGAGGAAAAAAAAACGAAAGCTTTGTTGAAGTTGTATTCAACTACCAAACTTTCCACCCTCTCAGAGAGCATAGCAGGCAGCGGTACCTTGGTCCGGATGATATTCTTATCACTCTCAATGTCTGGCATGGTGTCGAAGTCACTCTCCTCCACGGAGCTGTCTGTGTCTGACTGGTGGCATGGCTGGCCCCCATCAGAGGAGGACATCTGCCTGCCGGGACTGGAGCCTGACTCATCTGAAACAGAGAACGCTCATCTGCCTTCCAAAGCCAAGAAGCACCCAGGGAGCCCATTCTCTGCAAAGAGCATGGTGCTGACTCATACTTGACAATGTTAGTAAAAACTAACACCTTACCCACACACATGATCTTTTTCTCAATTCCTCCTCAGTGAATTTTTTATTTTCCACTTCTCCTATTTTTATGTTTAAATCGTCTAGTTTTAGGGCTAAATATATATTAAGAATATAGCTCTGGCTGGTTTGGCTCAGCGGTTAGAGCGTCAGCCCATGAACCAGAGAGACCCGGGTTTGGTTCCTGCTAAAGGCACATACCTTGGTTGCAGTTTGTCCCCTGCCCCGTTGGGGTTGTGTGGGTGGCAACCAGTCGATGTGTCTCTCTCTCTTCCTCCCTCTCTCCCTCCCACTCTATCTGAAGATAAATGCAAAAATGTCCTCGGGTGAGGATAAAAAAAGAAAAAAAGAATGTAAAGACATCTACTCTGTTAACCATTAGATGCAAAGATAAAATGCTATATTTCATGTTTCATATTTAAAATATGAACATAAATTTATAAACATACACATGCACATAGTTATGTATAGCATCTACCACATATACATGTGAGTGCACTCATATCCAGCAGCTACACATGGCTTGTGGATCAAGTATTTGTACACAGAAATCCCTCACATGCCACATCTAGGATTACATAATGTAAACAACATTCTCAGGAAGAAGAATCCTTGTGTCCCCGTGAACAGTTGGGATTTGTGCAGCTTGATGACCACATGAGCTGAGCCTACCTTCCGCTTTAATTTCTTCTGTGCAGATGGTTACACAAACAAACAAACAAAGCCCCTGTTCTGGCAGAGCCAGAAATAAGTCGCCTGCACTGAGCCCACATACTTCTCAGAGTTACAGAACAACAGGGCAGGAATACAGGATCCCCAGTCCCTCTACGCTGAAATTTGAGGTGCACCATTCCTAGGCCCATATGCGTCATCGGAGTGCACGGAATATTGGAGCCTCCACTCCAAGATAGGCTAGGAATTCTGTTCCTATCAGGCCACTTTGTGAACACTGGGGGTTGCCATGTGAATGACTGGGTGGCAGTGAGCAGATTCAATTATGAAGTTAGCCAAAATGAAAGACCGTTAGGCTTCAGCCATGACCACCTGCAGCTCAGCCTTAGTCTCCAGATCGCCCTTACTCCACTGAAACCTGAGAATGAAACCACTGGTTATTTGAGGTCGGGCTCCCTGACAGACTCTGACACATGTTTCAAGTCCTTAGTCAGGGTGGGTATAAAAAATCCCCACGGGGGCTTTGGGAGTTGATGGAACCATTGTAGGAATTCTGCTCAAGTGTGTCCAGCAGATCCAAGAAACAGAATAATAGAACAAGAGGAAGTTAGAGCTGGAAGGAACCTTCCAGATCCTCCACGCAATTCATCTTATAAAGACAATACAATCTTAAGTGATGACTGTCTTGCCCACTCTCACAGTTCCTAGTGGCTGGAGGACCTTTGTCGGAGAATGAGGAAGTGCTTCTATGAATGGACTCGTAGGAAATACCTATTGTCCCATAATTGCTCCCTTCTGGGGTGCTGGCAGCAATGGGATGTGACACCGCCATATCTCCAGAGCCTGTTAAAAAAGAAAAGCAAAGAGGCAAAGACTTTATGTCTAGTTGCTAAAACAGGAAAAACACAACACTATTCTAAGTAGTCTGAATTACCAGGGCACAACATTTTAAACTTAATATTCTCTTCACTCTAATACAAGAATCACCAAACTATGACCTGCAGGCCAAATCTAGCCTGCCACCTGTTTATCTATGGCCCTTGAACTAAGAATGATTTTTAAATTATTGGAGAGAAAAATGAAAAGAAAAATAATATTTTATGACAGGTAAAAGTTCTAGGAAAATAAAATTTCAGTACTCATAACAGAGTTTAATTGAGATATAGTCACACTCATTTGGGTATGTCTATGGCTGGCTACAGTGGCAGAGTTGAACAGTTGTGACAGAGACTATTATGTCTGGCAAAGCTTAAAATAATTACTATTTGGCACTTGAGAGAAAAGTTGCTGATTTTTGCCTGACAGTATTGCAGAATCACAAGAACAAAAGAGCCTGGGTCCTGAAATCACTGTGAGAAAGGCCACCACTGAACAAAAACATTAGAAATAAACTTCTGTGATTAAGATGTAACGTAATTTGGAGGTTTACTTGTTATAGCGGTTAGCAGTACCCTTGCAACAGGCAGAAAAAGCCCAGATAGGAAAGGAAATTGCTACATGCAATAAATAATGGCTACATGAACTAAGAATGTGGATGGACATCGGTTATTTTGAGGGATATTTCAGAGGTAGAATAGGCATATCTATTGACAAGTGGTTGTTAGTGAGAGAAAAATAGATGAAAAAAGTGCTCCTCAAACGTCTCCAGTGAAGGACTCCTTGCAGGGAAAGTGGACTCATTCCTTTGAGAGGCTGGAGGTCATCAGGAATCACCCTACTGCAAGTGTCAGAGAAAAATATCTCCCAACTTTCTCACTGGTCATTAGGCAAGATACTGTCCCACCAAGTTCATCCATCCGTGACAGTTAGGTGGAGCCGAACAGAGAGAGCAGAAACTGCCTCTGAGCGGGTGTATAGGCAGTTTCTGACTCGGATTTAGTGTCGCCACGTTTCCAGGGCCACACTTATCTATGGAGACGCATGAGAATGTTTCTGCACTGTCTCCTAAGCTTTGCAAAGATCTGGGATATTGTCGCATTGGTGGGAATTTCCTACTGAAATCTTTCTGAAAGATGAGATTGCTTGTGTCCCCAAACACGGGCAAAAGAGTCTGTGAGTAACTTGGCAGTCTCTTGTACTATTGCAGGGGAATAAATTTTCAGTGAAGACGCATAACTGAGACTATTCTTTATATCCTCGCTGTAAATATATTTCCATTTCTTCATTGAAAACATAGTTCGCTATAGTTTACATGAATGCTACAGGGTGTAACATGTAAAAGAACCCAAAGCCTCAAACCAGCGTTGTCACAGACAACTGTCTTCATCCAGCTCTCAAACTTCATTTCCACTTGCAAAACATCAGCTTTGCAAGCCGGCTTTGTAGGCTTCACAAGCTTTATTTTACTCTGTGTGCCCATTCACTCCCTTCGTGAAGAAAAATAATTAAATCCCAAGCTAAAAATATTTAGCCAGATGATGAGAGACAAATCTGATGGCCTTGGAGACTCCGTTTCCGTTCTCACTTTGATGGCTCAGCAGCTGGACAGCAGCACCTTGGGGCTAATGCTGTATTCCTAGCAGGCAAGGCTCCGGGCCCTCAGAGTGCAGACACCCAGTTCCTAGGCTTGGAGATCCCTTGACACATGTTTTATTATTTAAAGAAAGTAGATGTTTCCTGGCCTTTCTTGGGTTTATTCATAATAGCATGGTATCAACACCATCTCTACTTTTTATCCAACTTCAAGGCACAGAAACAGGTTACTTTCGTACTCTTAAGTATGAGAGAGTAAATCTGTTGTGCACAAAAACAGCGTTACGGGAAGATGGTGTCTACAATTTGACTTTTTTTTTTTGTGGCCTAGGACAGATTTGGTCATAGTTACAGCACAGAGCTCTGCTGCTGTTTCTGCTGTTGCTTCTATTAACTATAACAAGTACTAATGGTGTTACCACCGCCACTGCTACTACTACTAATGCTTCTGTGACTATTACTACTGCTGCTGCGGCTGCTGCTACTACCTCTATCACTACTACTGGCTAGTGGCTGTTGAAAACTTACTGTGTGTCAGACACTCTTTTGAACTCTTTACAAGAATTTTAATTTTTCAACAACCCTACGAGGTGGGTACTATTGTTATCACCATTTTAAAGACAACAAAAGGGAGGTGCTGAGAGATCAAGTAATTTGCCTGGAGTCGCTCAGATATTGGATGGACATTAGTTTATCATAATGGTCTCGGCTAAAATTTATCTTTCCATTTTTAAAAAATGCAAGGGTTTTCCTTCAAGCTATGAATAACTGGCAGTAAGCATGTCACTTTGGTGAAGTGCTCAAGATATTCTGGAGAAAGTTGAGGCTCATATGCATTCCCACTACCATAAACTCACATTTTAAAGAAGTATCTGAGCATAATCTTTGCTCTTTAGATCGGCTGCTGTGCTTGCCAATGATTCCCTATTGGGCTGTGCTCGGGTCTTCTTTCTCTCTAGTTCCTTGTGGGAAGTTTCACAAAAATCCCTGTGTCGATCTTATCCCTAAGTGATATATACAGTCTTTTACATTTACAGTTCCCTCAATCTCTTTCACAATTTTTTTCTTTTCAAGCTTAAGCTCCCTATTTTTAACCATCAACATCTGTCCCTTACTTAAGCTTTAATTTAAAAAATATTAAATGTGCAAACAATAAGTGAAGAGTGACATTAAAATAATAAAACCCAGCCCTGGCCTGTTTGGCTCAGTGGTTAGAGCGTTGGCCTGAGGTCTGCAGAGACCCGGGTTTGGTTCCCGCTAAGGGCATGTACCTCGGTTGCAGTTTGTCCCCGGCCCTGATTGGGTCATGTGGGTGGCAACCACTCAATGTGTCCCTTTCACGTTGATGTTTCTCTCTCTCTCTCTCCCTCCCACTCTATCTGAACAAAATATCGAAAAAAAAACGTCCTCGGGTGAGGATAAAAATAAATAAAATAAAATAAAACTCAGACTTTTTGGCATTTTGGTGTTACTGGGAAGCCCTCTGATAAGGTAAGTAGAAGTGTGCATAGGAAAATGCTTGAGGTCAGTTGTGTCAAGAGGTTGAAATGGTTTATGGGAGCCAATGGGGGGTGTGTGTGTGTGTAATAAAAAGAAAGGGAAAAAAACGAATATCAAAACAAGCCAGGAAACAAAAACAATCACTGTTTTGTTAGGTGACAACTTCATTAAAAAAGGAAAAGCCAGCCACGTAGGTCTGTTCAGACTTGGACGTGTCACTGATTTCTGCACTCTGCTCCTGCTGGTTTTGATGTAGTAACTAACCCTATTCATCCGGAAGCAATACCAGTGATTCTGTGATGATTAAGAGCATCAAGATTTTCATGTGCAATACAGTTGCCAGCACATAAAATGTTTTAATGCTGTGGACTTTTATAAGCACAATTTAGATATAAGACTGGCCAACATCGGATAAAATGTCTGATACTTCCTGAATGCAAAAACCACAGCATTTTTTCCCAAACTTCACATATGATCAATGGTTCCAGAAGGCAAGCCATATTTGTACTTAATTGTATCCTATTTAGAAAGCAGAATTAAATACAAAAATATTAGTTCGTAGGACAGACCAAGATGTTCTGGCTGGAGATAAGCACACACATAAGGTTGTGAATGAGCTTATGTAATTGAGGAAACTTGTTCTGGTGTGTTTTTGTCTGAGCACAAACCCCTTGCCATCTGTCTGCGTTACTAACATATAATAAGATATGCTTACATGCTTGCTTTTTATGCTTAGTGCTCCGTGTGAGGGGAAAAACTTCATTGTGAGCATATTTGGAATATTCAGGGACTTCCTATTTATTATGGTCCTGCCTTTTCCTGTCTCTGAACTCAGGAGGGTGGAAGCTGAAAGGGAGTCAGAAATGATGCGAACGAGCTGCCATGAAGTTCCACCTACACCAACTAATTTCATATTTTTTCCCAAAAGTTGAGGAGAAAAATGAAGAAAACCATTAATCTTGGCAGAGGCGTATAAAATTCCTCTTGAAGAAAAAACTGGGCAAGAAAAGTCCAGGACATTTGGAGAAAGAAGAGCAGAGCCCCATTGTCCCGGAGCCTGGGGATGGCCTGTGCTCCTTGATTCCTCCAGACTCAACACACTGCTTGTCTTATTCCCTCTGGACCCTGCTCTTTGCTGAGAGGCTGATTCAATAATGGCTCTATCCAGGGAACAATTTGCTTGGCCATTTAAATCTACAAACCCGACAGGTTTGTGAAGCTCTCTCACTTGAAAAAGTGGCCTTCTCTTAAGCTGCACCCCAGGTTCATGGTGACAGCTCAGATGGCCCCACAGGCCTGTGAGGTCTGCTTCATTCGCCTCCCCAGTTGGTAACTGAATTCCTGTACAGACTCTTTAATGATGTAAAATGTGGGTTTCTCCACTGATAGAGTGAGTGGAGGATTAGAGCACAGAGCCCTTGCTGGTACTCCTTAGATTACCAAAGGGAACCCTGTTTTAAGTACAGTGATACCTCGGTTCTCGAACATAATTCGTTCCAGGAGGACGGTCGAGAACCAAATTGTTCGAGAACCGAAGCAATGAAACCCAATAGGAAATAATGGAAACTGGATTAATTCGTTCCAAGCCCCAGAAAATGCCTACTTACTGGCCTAATTTGTATATAATATGTAGAAAAACATAAGTCTCAACAAGAAATAAAAGTGTACAGTATGTCTAAGGGTTAAATTCAGTGTAAAGCGTGACTCTCTCCACAAAGCGTGACTCTCTCTCTGCACTCACACTGATGACGCAAGCAAGGCGCGCTGGGCCGAATGAACGCCATTCGGCTCAACTCGGCTCATCTCGGAAGTTCGAGTTCCAAATATTTGTTCGGATTCCAAGACAAAAGTTTCTCGAATCTCCTGGTCGAATACCGATTTAGTCGAAAGTCAAGGCGTTCGAGAACCGAGGTATCACTGTACTAATTGATGAATGAAGCATACAGTGTCCATCCATTCATACCATGGAAAAAAAAAGTCCCTTCAAAGACTGAGGAAACTCTTTACCAACACTATTTCCACTTCACTTGGCTCTAGGGTCTCATCTCCTTTTCCATCCCATGAAGCATTAAATAAATTCTTTCTCTTTTTAATACAGTTGGAGCCAATGTTGACATTTTTCAAATGCAACTTACAGAACTGCAGACAAACCAAAGAAAAACAAATGCAGAGGAGTTGACAGTTTTCCAAATGCAGCCTTCCCATTGTTACCTAACGAAAGCAGAGCTGCCACCAGCCCCCACGGCACTTCCTGTAGGTCTGAGCTCCACTGAACTTCCTGTGGCCCCACAGTCATACTAACCTTGGCCCCTGGTCTTCTGCAAAGGTTCCTCCCTGAATTCTCACTTCAGCTTTCAGATAAGGTCCCTCACTCAGGCTGGCTTATCAATGCTCTGCTGATGTACTTGAAAGAGTCACCAGCTGGTTTTTCTCTTCCGTAGAACTTGCCTTCTGTGCTCTTGTTTTAAATCATCTAAGTCTTGTCTCACTAGTGGTCATGTGACATCTGAGTTGTATTATCTTTGAATTTTTTCTGTAGCCTCTCTGCATGACAAAGGTTCTTTGTTGCCTCACTTTTTCAAAGCCCTTTGTAGTAAACTTTCTCATTTCCCTACTTCCTAACTAAGCTGGATTTTGTTCAGGTATCCTCATCTGTGCCTGGCAGCCCATGTGTTTGTTTATTTGTTTGTTTATTTATTTTTATGTTGGCTGTTATTTATTTTTTATTTGACAACCTAAGGGAAATGAGGTCAGTATCCCTGACTAAATAGTTAGGTATCACATGTTTTCAACATTTTGTGGAACACCGGTGCGTGGCAGCTGCTGGTTGAAAATCGCTGTTTGCAGTAAATGATTTTCAGCCTTCCTCTTAGCTGACCTCACTGTGGTCTTTCAGTTGCTTAAAACTTCCTGATTTTATGCTTCTTGAACACAGCCTTCTATTCTTTTGTGGTTCTCTTCTTACCTTCTGACAGTGCATTTTGAGATTTATCCATAGATTTTTTTCCTCCACCTACCTTCCTTGTGGGAAATCCTTATCATTTCCCCCACGTCCAGCTCCTCATCTTTTCCTACGTACTCTTTCCGGGAGGCAATTCCATCCACCGGCCCATGTGTTTAAGTCAGTGATTTCAACCAGGGGTGGGGAACTGTTTTGCCCCCAGATGACATTTGGCAATATCTGGAGACATTGGGAGGAAGTGTATTGGGATTCTAGTAGGTAGAGGTGAAGGACGCCGTTAAATGCTAAATGCCCTACAATACACAGGACAGCCCCCAACAACAAAGAGTTATCTGGCCTATAATGTTAATTGAAAAAAACCTTTTTTTTAAAAAATGGATTTTTAGAGAGAGAGGAAGGGAGAAGGAGAGAGAGATAGAAACATAGATGAGAGAGAACATCGATTGGTCACCTCCTGCATGCCCCCCCACTGGGGATTTGGCCCACAACCTGGGCATGTGCCCTGACTAGGAGTCAACCTCTTGGTGCATGGGTCAATGCTCAAATACTGAGCCATACTGGCCGGGCCTGTAATGTTAATTAATGTTGAGTTTCAGAAACCCTTGTCTTAGTGAAAGATGACCTCACCCTAATTCTATAAGTAAGCTTGATGGAATGTGGGTAAATATATTCCTTTGCAGTGGCTGGTTTAGCAATAAGTATACAACTCACTCTAGGCCAATAAAATGAGAATAAGTTGCTGGGTGCTTCTGAAAAAGTCCTTCCCTCTGGAGATTGTCAGGTGAGGGTGTAAACCTGGTCCCCCTCACCACCAGCACTGTGAGCAAAGCAGAGCCCAGGGACTGGCAGGGAAAGGACCACAGCCACCTGACTCAGATGGTCCTGAAGCCCACCCTTAGCTTGGCTTCCAGGGAGAGAAACTTCATTATGGTTTAGGCATGTTTGAGATATATTTTCTTGTTACCTGAAGCCACATGAAACCTAATTGATGAATCTTTATCCTTCCCTTCCCTTCCCTTCCCTTCCCTTCCCTTCCCTTCCCTTCCCTTCCCTTCCCTTCCCTTCCCTTCCCTTCCCTTCCCTTCCCTTCCCTTCCCTTCCCTTCCCTTCCCGTCACTCATTTACTTCTTGCCACCTGAAGGACACCTCCAGCTCTTACCTAATTTTCAGAGCCTTCTTGATCTTGGACAAACATCTGGGTCAAGTCCCAGCTCTGTCCACCTATGCTACACTGTTCAGGAGAGTGTTCCTTTAACGATCATTATAATAATAAAAAGACTTCCCTCATACAATAAAAATAACAGAGTAATCATTTACAGAGCACTCAAAAGGATCTAACCAGTCAGGCTTCTAAGTTCAACATTTTGCCTAAAATAAAAGCAAAATCTGGGGAGCACTGGAGAGGAAAAGGTGAAATCCACAGAGAAGACAAATTTACTTAAACATTTTATGAATAAAAGGAAAAGTAGTAGTTAGCATTTTAATGACAGTAGAGCAGGTGTCCTTTTATATTAGCTGTTGAATGTTATCAAAAAACACTGCCTGGGTGGCTGGAAACAGACATGCTGACAGCAGGGGAGACAAAAGTCAAAGGAAGTCAGGAGAAGCTGCGGGAAGAAAGTTCCTGCCTGGGTGTTGAGGGGCTCAGTTTGTGTCTTTCTAAGATTCCATGGATTCATTTAAGTATTGAAAATGCAAAACTAAACATCTGCTGCTTGCATCTTAAAAATCAAGTCTCACTTCATCATTCCTTTTCCAAATGATTACTCTCTGCCAAACAGCTTATGAGTACAGTGTAAATCATGTTGATTTAGGCTTTTTATAAATGAGGACATATACGAAAGGTACAAACTTCCAGTTATACAATAAGTAAGTCCTGAGAATGCAACTAATGTACAGCATGGTGGCTATAGTTAATAATATTGTATTGTATATTGAAAAGTTTCTAGGAGAGTAGATCTTAAAAGTTCTCACCACAAGAAAAAAAATGTGTATGTGTGGTAATGAGTACGAACTAAACTTATTGTGGTGATCATTTTATGCAACATACAAATATTGAATCATTGTGTTGTATACCTGAAACTTATACAATGTTACATATCGCAATTGAAAAAATAAAGATATTTGATTTTTTTAAAAAGTTTTTTGTTTTAAAAATATTTGTATTGATTTTCCTTTTGAGAGAGGGATGAAAGGAGAGAGAGAAACATCAATGTGAGAGAGAACCATGGATCGGCTGCCTCTGGCATGCCCCCTATTGGGGATCAAGCCTGCAACCCGGCATGTGACCTGACGGGGAATCGAACTGGTGACCTCTTGATGCATGGTTCAACGCTCAACCACTGAGCCACACTTGCCAGACTTTTTAAAAAGTGTTGATAAAAAGATCAGGCAGCCCTGGCCGGTTTGGCTCAGCGGTTAGAGCGTCGGCCTGCGGTCCTGAGAGACCCGGGTTCGGTTCCCCCTAAGGGCACGTACCTCGGTTGCAGTTTGTCCCCGGCCCTGGTTGGTTGTGCGGGTGGCAGCCACTCGATGTGTCCCTTCACATTGATGTTTCTCTCTCTCTCTCCCTCCCACTCTATCTGTACAAAAAAATGGAAAATATCCTCGCGTGAGGATAAAAAAAAAAAAAAAAAGATCAGGCAATTGATTTCTTTTGTTCAAATTCTCAGAGTGGAGAAAAGGGCATATTACAATGGTTGAATAATCAATTACTCTGGATTTCTCAAAGTTATTATACTTTTTATGATATTTGCTAGTCTCAAATATTTCCATTTTCTAGATACTTGAACAAAAAAGCCTTTATCTCAACTTGGGAAAAGTAAACTCTGTATTAACAATACATTTTTAATATTGTTCTCAAATCAACTTTGGGATAAGATAGGTATAAACAATTTATATCCTAGAAAAGATTAAACATTTGAAAAGGATGAATGGCTGACACCTGGGCTGTGGATAATTATAAGGGACACGCTAAACAAACATTTTCATTGTGAGTTCCATATCTCAGTAATTAAGAACTATAAAAATTGGTTCTCACTGAACTCCATTTTCTGTAGAAAGACTGCAGATTAGACTCCTCTGTGGATTAGGAATCAAGGGAGGGTTTGGACATCACAAAAGGCAGAGAGAAAAAAGAAGTACCAAACGGGAGTGTTACCGTATACACGGCATCAATTGGATTTGAAACCGGGAATTTCTTACCATCACTGGAACCGAAGCTCCCATCAGTGGATTTTCTCTGAAACCTGCAAAAAAGGGCACATATACATGCTCCTAAGGCAGCGAAAATCTCAGCACTTTACATTTGTCCTCTATAGACTTTATTGCAGATTTGTTTGCTAGAATCTCTTAAAAATTGGCCTTTGGATGTGGAGAAATTAGGACAATGATACATTGCTAGTAGGATTGTAAAACGGTGTAGCCAATTAGGAAAACAGTTTGGCAGTTCCTCAGAAAGGTAAACGTAGAGTTACCATATGATCCAGCAGTTCTACCCCAGGCACATACATACTTACATCAATTCATTAATTTATTTTCAGATTCATTTATTTTCATATAACTCACATACCATAAATTTCATATACCCTTTAATATATACAATTCAATGAGTTTTAGTATGTTCACAAAGCTGTGCAACCATCGCTATTATCTAATTCCAGAACATTTTTATCATCTTCCAAGGAAATCTCAAACCTATAAGTAGTCCCTCTTCCCCTTCCTCCCAGCCCCTAGCAACCACTAATCTACTTTCTGTCTCTACATTTGCCTATTCTGGACATTTTGTATAAATGAAATTATACTATATGTGTTTTTTTTTTTTCTATTATACAGAAGTTTAAAAAACTTTTTTTTCTTTATTGATTTTAGAGAGAGAGGAAGAGAGACAGAGAGAGATAGAAACATCAATGAGAGAGAACATCAATTGGCCGCCTCCTGCATACCCCCCACTGTGGATTTGGCCCATAACCTGGGCATGTACCCTGACTGGGAATCGAACCAGTGACCTCTTGGTGCATGGGTCGACACTCAACCATTAAGCCACACCAGCTGGGCAGAGAGAAGTTTGTTTAATGTGTGTGAAGGCCATACACTTATTTCAGTAATTTTCAACCTTTTTGATCTCTTTTTTAATTGATTTTTAGAGAGAAAAGAAAAGGAGAGAGAGCGAGAGAAACATCGATGTGAGAGTAAAACATTGATCGGCTGCCTCCTGCATGCACCCCAACCAGGGATTGAGCCCACAACCTGGGCATGAGAGATCTTCCTTGCTAAACAAATAAAATCTAAAGCAGCTTCACCCAATCCAGTTATTCTCTATCTCACCAGCGTCTTTACTTGCTTGCTTGCTTATATGTTTGTCCTCTGTACCATGTAAGCTCTATTAGAGCAAGGCTCTAGATTGTCTTGTTCACCACTGTATCCTTCACTCCAGGACAGGCCCTAGCACATAGGAAATGATAAATAAATATTTGTCAACTGAAAAAGGCATATCATTAAGGAGAGCAGTTAAATTTGGCCTTTTATAGCTGGCAAATGAAGCTCTAGTGAAGTCCCCTTTAAAAACAATTTTAGTGATATTAACTGACAAGCAATTATATGGCCTCATAAATGATGTGTTTGGATTGTGCGTTTGTATTAGCAGGCTTTACCCACCCTTGCCCAGGGTTTGGAGCTGATAAAAATTTTCATTAGAGGAGTTCAATGATTTACAAAGCTAGGGTGAGGCAGGCAGTAGCTAGTGAGCAAAGGAAAAAATAGTAAATGAGAACAATGCTAGACTGATTGAAAAATGGCTACACCTCAGCTTGTATCCAGCTCCATCAGTCAAAAGTGGAATCTGTATCTTCACTTCTTGAATCTAGACTGGCCTCATGCCTTCTATTGACCCATGGAATGAGGGGGAAGTAATTCCGTGCCACTTCTGAACCTACATCTTAAGGAAGCCTTGCACTCTCCTGTTAGCTCTCTTGGAGATACAATCGACCAGGGCCAGCCTGCGGGAGGGTGAGAGACCAAGTGCAGCTGAGGGCAGTCTAGAAGAGCCAGCTCCTAGATGACCTGCCAGCTGGTTGCACTCTATGACCACATCCAGCTGAGATCTCTGAGCCCAGTGCAACTGACTCATAGATTTGTGAGCAAACTTTAATATTTATCGATGTATGCCACTGAACTTTTTATGGCTGATTTTTATGCAGCATTTTTGTGGCAATACAAGCGTTGAGAGAAAGGTGAGCACCCAGAATCGAGCAGTTTAAACTCAGTGTCTGGAAGGGTGGTTGAGAGGAACAAATAAGAGACTATGCATGCAGTACTTGGACCAGAGCCTGCACATTCATTGTGGGGGCTCCATAAATACTTGTTGAATAGATTGGGTCTGGGAAAAAGATGGGAGGGGCACGGTGCTTAGTCATGTGTTCAAGCCAATACAGCATAAAGACATTCTGGATTCTTAGTTTCCTGAGGGCCAGGGACATGTCTCTTACCATTGTCTTCATCCTAATCTCACAGCTGGTACTAAAAACCTCACATGTATTATTAATAATAAGGTACAGGGGGCTCACTGAGCTTTATGCTCCAGGACTAGTTTCATTTGGTTTTGTAGAAACTTTGTTATTTCTGCTTAGTTCAATGAAAGAAGAACTTAGTTCCCTCAGTCTATTCCCCTATTTAGAATGCCAAATAATTCTTATGTCTTCAGATTTCTATTCTCAGTTTGTCTATATTTGGAAAGAATCTACTCATGCAATTGACCGTAGCAAAATAATCTATCTGGCAGCCAGAGGTTTCAACAGAGCCTCATACCACACCTTGGAAAAACTGTGCTCGCTTCAGTAGGTTGAATAACAACTGCAGAGAGTTTGATATCCAGCTATCAACTTAATTTTTTGTTTGTTTGTGTGTTGACTATGCATGGTAACTAACTAAAGAGATGAAATCCTATTTCCTAAAATCTAAAACATCAGGAGTAGAGACAGTCCTCCTAAGAGAAGAAGAGGCTGACCTCTTTTTCCATGACATCGAAATTCATCCGAGTCAAAACTGGAAGCTTGTTGGAACTTTTTTTCAGTTGAATCCACGCTGGCCTGCCAGACATTTGGTCTGGTCTCCTCAAACAGAACGGCCCTCCCTCACATGCTCTGACCACTCCAGACCCATTTCTACCAGCCTGCTTGGGTTCAAATCCCAGCTCCTTCATTGACTGAATTCTTGGTCAAATTGCTTCATCTCTCTATGCCTCAATTTCTGTAACAATTGAATGGTGATACTATGAGTACCCATTGTAGTGGGTTATTAGACAAGATCATTTGCTTAGAGGGTTTGGCACAGAGCAGGTACTTGTTAAATGTTAGTGCTTGTCATCTGACAAATTAATCAAGCTGATAAGTAATGTATATACTTTTAGGTATAATATTTGCCTATAGACTGTAGTTTTTGTTTTTAACTTTTTATTTGAAAATAAATTCAAATTTACAGAGACATTGTAAGAATAAGAATAGAGCACTTGTATGGATTCACTTATTGTCAGCATATTCCATTTGCTTTATCAGTCTCGGTCTCTCTTTGTATTTATATAAATTTTTTCTGAACTGTTTGAAAGAAAGTTACATGTCATGAACTTTTATGCCTACATATTTCCAAAGAATAAAGATATTATCTTACATAACCACAGTATAGTTGTCAAATTCAGCAAATTTAACAGTGATATAATACTCTTATCTAATCCACTGTCTGTATTACAATTTTGTCAGTTGACTCAAAAATGTCCTTTATAGCATATTTTTCTTCTAGTAAGAGATCCAGTCTAAGATCAGGTATTGTCTTTGGTTGTCATATCTCCTTAGTTTCCTTCAATCTGGAACATGTTTACAGCCTTTCTTTGTCTTTTACGACACATTTTAATAGAATGATTGTCATTTTGAGTTTAATTATTCCTTATGATTATATTCAAAATATGCATTTCTGGCAGGAATGCTGTATGTGATATTGTGTGTTTCTCAGAGTGCCACATCTGGGGGCACACAATGCTTATATTAATTTTGATCACCCAGTCAGTCGTTGTCTGATTTCTTCGCTGTATGGTTACTATTTTCCCCCTTACAACTACTAAGCAATGTGTGGGAACACACTTTAAGGCCATGCAAATATCTTAACCCTCATCAGATTTTCCTCCTAGTTTTAGAATCCATTGATGATTCTTAACCTGATCTATGCAAAACGATGACTCTTCCATTTCAGTTCTCCCTCCATATTCATGTCAGCTTTGGGTATTGTGCTATAGACAAAAACCCTCCGTAACACTGTCAGTATTTGCTAATAACTTCTTTCCCTAATGTGTGCCTGTTTTAGTAACTTTGTTGAATTCGTTGGATGTATATCTGCAGGTATTTAGGTTGTTCCTCTCTCCCTCCTCCCTTTGTCCCTTTATCAATATGGATTCATGAATTTATATTTTTCCCAATGATTTATAATTCATTATTCTCCTTAATTGTTTTGGTGTTCAGATTGTTCCAGATATGACCAGTGGTAATAATTCCAAAGTTTCGGAAGTCAGTTTATTAACTGAAAAGCTTCCTAATAGTCACAAAAATAGAGATAGAGATAGGCCTATGATAGGCCTTTGAGTCAGAGATGTTTGTATCACTGTAGTAGCCATGAGGTGTTTTTCACCCCTTTTTCAAACTTATCATTATTGTTGAAAGTATTACAGATGTCCCTCCTTTTCCCCCTATTGACCCCCTTTTCTCTGCTCCTGCCCCCTCCTGCCTTCCCCAACTATTGTCTGTGCCCATTGATTATGCATACATACATATAAGGTCTTTGGTTTATCTCTTCCTGCTCCCCCTCCCCGCTTCCCTTTTTTAAAAAAATTTATTTATTTATTTTTTTGTTACAGATGTTTCTCCTTTTTCACCCCATTGGCACTCCCCTCCCCACCCCACCCCTGCCCAGTCCTTTGTTGTTCATGTCTATTGGTTATGTATACATGCATATAAGTTCTGTTGTTTATCTCTTCCCACCCACCCCCACCCCGTCTTCTGACGGATGTCAGTCTGTGCCCTACTTCCATGTTTCTGGGTCTACCGTATTCCTCAGACTGTTATGTTCATTATATTCTGTATATAAGTGAGATCATGTGGTATTTGTCTTTTTCTGCTTGGCTTATTTCACTTAGGATAATACTTTCCAGGTCCCTCCATGTCATCTCAAAGGATAAGAGATCTTTCTTTTTTACAGCTGCATAGTA